ATTTTATTACGAAAGCGATCGATGGCCCAACACAGTTGCCCTTAACCACGTTCTGTACGGATACGGCGTGATGCTTTACAATTATGTATGAAAAAAACATGCGATCGCTTCAAAAAATATTTAGTAAAGTTGATAATTTAAATCGAATGGTACCTTTGTAGGTCTGGACTTGTGTATTTTTTTGTTTTTCGTGTAAAGGCTTGTATAATGCCAAGCACCATGGAAACCTGCCTTTGTGCTAGGTCGTGGCGAACGCGAGCGGGCGCGGCCGTACACCTGGATCGATTTTCACTTGAACTTGCCGTTCGTGTGTGTTTCGACATTGAAGATAATTTTACAGCAATGTAATGTACGGTCAGGGCTCATTTCAAGGCCTTTCTATTTAAGTTGTATCTTTCAATAAACATGTTTTGGTGTTTATTTTCTAAGTGTTCAGTTTTATAAGTACTAAAATACATGTTTAAGCCCGTTTTAGTAACTTAAGTATTTATTAATTTGAAAAAAGCAAGTATTAACAATTTTCGTTAGAGAAGGGAGCAAACGAAAACATCGAGGTTTTCAACGACGACCATAGTCGACCAACGACGTCCAAAATTCCAGAGGAACTAAAAATCTTTCCTCTTTCTAATAACATAAGTACTAATAAAATTGTATAAATTTTAACTTAATTAAAAAGACGAAAGTATTTTTGGCACCGGAATTATTCAAAAGTTACAAACAATCAAAAGTCAAAAATAGTATAATGTCTCACGAAAGTTTTAATAAGTTAATCAAAAGTCTTATTTGACTATTGTTACTACGCGGAAAACTATCTTCTATACATTATAAAATTTTCTAGAAACGTCCTTTTCGAAGACTTATTCATTATCTGTTATCTCTCAATTCACTTGCCAGCTATATTAATAAATATTTATTGATAGTATAGGATTACTTTACAATCAATGTGCATGACAAAATACACGATAAATACTCATTATAATGTTTGATAATCTTATTAAATTAAATTTAAAATTTCGACTGAGAATAATAATCTCTGTTAAATATCGAGGGAGCGTTTGTCGCTTGTTTTTCTACTCTTTAAAAAAAGTTAACATTGATACGCTCAAAAGATGTTTTTTTGTTTTAAATAGAGTTTCTATTCTTATTAACTTTTGTTGGTGTTAGTTACTATTATTTATATACCCCTGAATATACCTATTTTTTACACACGATAATGAGTCTGTACCAAAAGAATTTTTCGTTCATAAATATTCTTTATAACTAATGATAATTAAAGCTATTGCTTATCAGATTAAATTATCAGTAACAAGCATTGATAGTAGATTACACGTCTATTCATATTTAAGTGTAAAATATAATCTAGTAGCTTCTATCTATTGCTAATTTTATAATATCTAATCTGAAACATCGACTGATATCTCTCAACTAGAACGAAAAGCTATTACTTTTTGTTTAAAGTTAAAATTGACGCGATTACTCGAATACATTTTCCTACATCTTGAAAAGTATTTAAGATAATTAAGACACATCAGATTTAATTTTGTCTAATAAACCTTAGCTTGCAGAATGAGTTTGTAATATTTGCGAAGACTCTAATCCATTTAATTAATTGTTTTAGATTACCAGGAACTATACGTGAATATGTTTCAACTATATTGTTTATTTTCTGTTTCAGGTACGTTCAATAAATCTGAACGAAGATTGTTCATCAAAGCAGTTTAACAATCCATCAACAATTCAGATACGTTAGTAATTTACTCTGTAAGAACTAAAAATATTTTTAAACGCATTATTAGCATCTGAAATCATGACTCTAGACTAGAATGGGTGGGAAATAAACGACCTCAACGTTACATACAAAGTGCTAATCATATAATATGTACTTTACTTTATTGCGTTCGAATATACGTTAGGCATTAGCTTGTATCCAAGATGTGAAGCGAGAGACGCGAGTGTTGACGCCAGGGTAGCGGGCAAGGGCACACTTTTCTCCCCAAGAGCATACGCCAACGACTACGTTGTTGTGCAACAGAGGGCCACCAGAATCACCCTGGCATTGATCCCGACCTCCCACGTTGATCCAGCCCGAGCACAACATGTTGTCGGTGATCTGTTCCCCAAGTTCATTGTAGCGATTCTTGCAAATATTCTGGTTGATTGACCAGATTTGTACGTGTCGCAGTTGTTCTGACGCGGTGCCGTTTACCTGAAAATAATCAGTTAAATTGTTAAAATGGTAAAACCACACCTAGATATTGATACATTTCGTTAATAACTTCTTTCTTAACATTGTTTTATAAGTAATAAAGTCGGAAGTTAAATACTGACCGATGTTACGCCCCACCCAAGTGCCCAAACGGCTTGGTTATCCGCAAGGTTGTAGTTGATGCCCGCAATGCTACCAGCGCGGACTCGATTGTTGTAAACGAATGGAGTGGCAGCGCGCAGAATTGCTATGTCACTGTCGAAATGTTCATAATCGAATTTGGGGTGGATGATGATCTGAGCGGTATTGTGCACCGCGCCACCGGAGTTTGCCCATGAAGAACCGACGCGAATACGCCACCTCACTGCAGAGTCACCGCTGAAATGAGAATATCCATAATCAATAAGGCCAACCTTTGATCACCAGTTGCTTCCAAGCAAGGGTATATGTTTTAGCCTTATTTATACTTAATCATATTCTATGCAAAATGCTCATGAGTGTATGATGGCCAGTTTCATTTTCCTCCAGTTCTTTTTAAATAGAACACAAACACAAATATAATATAAACTACGTAAAGACAATAAGGCATATATTTTTTCTAATTCAAACTAGGGCTGTTTTCAATTTTAGCTTTATAAATTTATTAAACTTACTAATAGCAATGAGCCGCTGAAAGAACCGAACGTGTAGTGATAATAGTACCACCACATGACTGCATGTATTGCTGTAGATTCCAGGAGAACAAGAGAGATGTCGCAAATGGGTAGTTATCGATGGTGGTTATTGAACCACCTATAATCCTCTGCTGTTTTCCTGGATATGCTAAAAAAATAATTTAAAATGTACTTAAATTATTCATCGCACTTTTAAATATCAATGTTTTCTATTATGTCAATAAATTAACTTACCCAAAATTGATGTGAATCCTACGATGAGAAAAATTATACCGAATATTAGACGCATCTTTGCGTTGTTTTATTCTTAAAACTGAAGATATAAATGGCTATTTATTTCTATCCAACAATTTATATTAATTGCATTTGCACTTATAGATAAAAGTTCAAGAGCATACAAACAATTATTGGAAAATATATCTTGAAGTACGTGAAATTGAGATAAGATGATAAATCAAGGTGCTACTGAAACCTAGCTAGTTAGCTACGTAGCTAGCGTATTAATGACTAATATAGTTTTTTCTTAGTAGTGTTAGGAACAAAATTAGTACCGTGCTGTAGAGTTGGCGCAACTCTAGATTATCGGCATAAACGGCACGTCCCTAGCTGACAGCTGTCAATGTCTCTAGAAGTATGGATAGATTGGCGCGTAACTTGAATCTTGACGAGAAGTATTGCTCTGAATTAAAAGCGATAGTATCAATTAAATAAGTTGTCTAATAGTAGGAAAATAATCTGAATTTAACCAATTCATTGTGACGTCATATTGTTAGGGGTAACGAACAAATCATAGTTTCTAAACCCGCTCTTCTATGACTATTATGGTGAATCAAATAATAGCTAAAGTCTAAAGGGTTATTGAGAATGTTTATAATACTCGTACTTACAATATAGTTGATGTCTGGTCTAATGTTTCTAGTGCAGCATCTCTCGGTACTAATAACAGGTTTAGTGAAACGTTATAAGTCAATGTTTTATTGATTTACACAATATTTTGATTGTTTATGATGTAAACAATATTTAAATTAAACCGGTTTATGTTATTTGTTGTATTCCTTCCTATATGATAAACATTGTTTATTTGGAACTAGTTCTATCGGAACCGGATTGAACCAGAATATAATTAGTACAAAATGTTAACGTTTACAAAATGAACATGACCAAAAATATGTTAACACTAGCGTTCGCCTGCGACTCTGTCCGCGTGGAACTAAAAAAACGAAATTGACTAGCCTAAGTGTTCTTCCAGGCTATCCTCTACATCTATGCCATTTTTCATCGAAATCCGTTTAGCTGTTTAGACTACAAACTCTAACAAACATCCATCCATCTAAACTTTCACATTTATAATATTAGTATGAAACCACAAAACATACCGAATTTCTTGTTAATAAAATGATGTAACATGATTGTTACTTATCAATTTAAACGCCTATCATTCATACGAACACTTAATTCCTTGTCTCATTATTATCATATTATGTAAGCATGTGTTTTTATTTAATAATGATGACATTATGTATCTATAGTAAAAAACTGTTATAAAATTCTGTAATCAAAGTAATAAAATTATATCTACCTGATATGCCATGACGACAGGTGTATAATTTTATTTAAATTCAGCCTGGCAACTAAAATGAATCATACCACAACATAAGAATTAAAGTCATGAGATCAAACAGTTAGGTTCTTGTTTTATAAGTCTTCTTGTCCTCTCCCATCCTACTTCTTCTTTACCTAATCTACATTCGACTCAAGAACTTAACTTTCACTAATGACTGATAGTTAGTGATAACCATCTACTTGATTACGAAAGTTTATTAAAATATATTTTTGTAAGCTTTCGCCTTCGATTCATCCCGCGTGCAAAAAAAAAAACAAAAGCAAGTAGCTTCCAGTCTGTCCTCTACATCAATGACAAATTACATCGCCGTTCAATCAGCAACTAACCTCCAAATTGTAACAAATATACAATTATCAATCTAAACTTTCGCATTTATAATATTAGTTAGAACTAAGATTAAATTAAATGGTTGTTCATTTTTCGTTTACTTTAACCGAAGAATATAAGAATTTCAGTTAATCAATACAACAAAGTTTCGTATTTTAAAGGGAATTTATTAAATTAAAATCAAGTTCGTTTTAGGCGTTAGCTTGAATCCATGACGTGTAGTTGGAGATGCGAGTGCTGATACCGGGGTAGTGGTTGAGTACGCACTGTTCGCCCCATGAGGTGACGCCGACGATCACGTTGTTGTGTAGGAGAGGACCTCCAGCGGTACCCTGGCATTCCTTGCCTCGGTACGTATCGAGCCAGCCAGAGCACATCATCACTTCAGTTGGGAACATCGCCAGTGCCCAGTATATGCTTCTACATGTGGTCAAGTTAATATGGTTGACTTGGATTTGCCTCAATCTCTCAGTAATTGTTGCGTTGGCCTGAAAATATCAAACAATATATTTTTTTATAAATTACTGAATACTAAAAGTAGGACAACTTTTTTCTTTTCAAGAATTAAATAAATATTTTCGAATTTATGTGACAATTTTACGATGCTGTGCGAGCTTTAATAATCGTAAAAAGTGTGTATTTTTACGCTCATAATAAATTACAGTTATCGCACTTTTTTGTTTACTTTTGTATAAATTCATTTTGTATTAATAACTGAATATATCACTAAATAAGTTTTGGTGTCTTAATTACGACAACAACTATTTTGTCAGACTTATTAAAAAAGATGAAGAAGAGATACGAAGATCTCTGATAATTTTGTTAACATACATTTTGCACAAACTACTTTTAATAAGGAAATTCCAAGACTGCAACCACAGAAAATAGAAGAAGTATTGGTAAATAAAAAGTATCAAACTTAAAACGTAGTATGAAAACTTACCGAGCTTTTACCCCATCCAACCGCTAATAAGGGCTGGTTGTCGCCAACGTTGTAGTTAGGACCAGCGATAGCAGCGGCACCGACTCTGTCGCTAAATATAAATGTCGAAGAGGACTGCAACAGGGATACATCAGCCTCGTAGTAGAAGGGGTTGAAATCAGGGTGGTTAAGGATACGGAAAGTTATGTAAACGGTACCACCGCTGTTGGCGAAGTCAGAGCCAACCCGAATCCTCCATGTATAAGTTGCATCACCACTGTAAAAGAGAAGAGAAACTTTTAAAATCTTAGTTAAGTTTACTGCGGACTGGGTTTTATTTCGAATTCAACGGAATGAGTTGGTTGAAAGAATCCGTTCTCAACACATTTAATAATGACCAATCATAATTACTTAGTTAAAATTAAAATAGAAAAAATAGAGCGAAAAATCTGACTTACTGGAAACAGTGAGCGGCGGATAACACAGTCCTGCTGTTAAGAATAGCTCCAACACAAGATTGAACGTAGGACGCCAAGTCCGCGGTATACAATAGAGCTGCAGTGTATGGATGGTTTGCAACTGAAGTCTCCACTCCGCCTACTATTGGATGAATTACCTTGTTGCCTGTGGTATTAAGAATTATGTTAGATGTGATTTGATTTTATACGCCAGATATGGTTTTGTTTAGTGGTCTTTAAATAATGCTGTGTACATCAATAGCAATCCGAATAGAACAGTTATTGCTACAAGCAAATTAGATATGTATAAAATAGTATGCCATGTAAAAAATACACTTGTATTTATTATTGAATGTTAATCTAGATAACTAATAAAAGCTTTGAAAATTAATCTTTCTACAATTTGACTTCTTATATCTACGGCTATTGCAAATATTTCAAGATAAGTACCTGCAACAGCAACAATGCTGACGGCAAAAAGAGCGACTAGAGCCTTCATTTTACTTCTTACTAATACTGCTGTCTAGATCCTTTAGATACCAACTTTTATAGAAACAAATAATCCTTTCCTGGCTTAATCAAAAGATAAGTGGATATTAGAGATAATATCGATAACTGATACTGGATTAGAAGTATTGAATATAAGGGTTACATAGTCTAGATATTGGAATGTTAGTTTAAAACTGATTACTACTTCTCTAAGTCGAAAGATATCTGCATAACTACCGACGATATCGTATCAAGAGTGACAACTATACATTGGAGGATTGGTATCCGACACACGAGAGGAAAATCTAGAGTTACCCGTACTTTAAAGATATTCCGTGAAAATAAAATCACATGAACACTTGGAGAAACATGTAAAATGATTGTGTTGATTATTTTAATTGGTTTATTTACATTACTTGTAATAAAGACCAGCCAGATGGGTACATGATATGCACCGTAAAAATTGTGTGGAAGAGGAGAGGTATATGCCCAGCAGTGAATAGATATAGGCTGGCATGATGATACAATTCTTGAGATGCGCATACCCTGATAATCGTTAAGAATAGACTACTGCATGATTCCATTTGGGATCTACGGATTTATCAACATGAACCGTTCTGATGCTATCTATAAAAAACGAAAAATCATAAAGAGATTTAAAAAAAAAGCCTTCAGTAATTTATAGTAAAATTATTTTATTTTATTCATTTACAATCTTTCTATTACGCATTAGCTTGAATCCATGATGTGTAGCTGGAGATACGAGTGCTGACGCCGGGGTAATGGTTGAGAACGCATTGCTGACCCCATGAAGTGACACCGACGATCACGTTGTTGTGCAGCACGGGACCACCTGCCTCGCCTTGGCACTCCTTGCCTCGGTACGTGTCGAGCCATCCCGAGCACATCATATCCGTGGTGGGATACATCGCAAGTATGACGTAAATGTTTCTGCACGTGTTCATGTTGATGTAATTTACTTGAATCTGTCGTATCCTCTCAGACACAGTAGCATTAGCCTAAAAAATATTATATTAGGACTTAAACACTTTAACCTGACAAAAATAGAATTTGCGAAATCCGGAAAGCTTAAACACAAACAAAATGCTTATAAACTTTCCACAATTACTATAAATGTAGTTGTTAATTTAAACATTTAGGTGAAAATCTGAATTAAAGGTACTGAAATGACTTACAGAACTTTTACCCCATCCCACAGCGAGTAGTGGTTGATTGTCTGGGACAATGTAATTAGGTCCCGCAATACTAGCGGGGCGAACGTTGTCGTTGGTCAGGGCGGAGGCGGAGTGCAGCAGGGCTACGTCGTTGTAGGAATAAAAAGTGTGGAAGTCGGGATGGTTGATGATACGGAGCGTAATGTGGACGGTGCCACCGCTGTTCGCGTAGTTGGAACCAACGCGAATCCGCCATAAATTAATGTCATCGCCACTGAAAATAACAAAAACTTTGAAGCTGCTGAGGCATAGAATTGATATCGAGGTTTAATAGTTCTGAAGATATTTCCACTAATGTCAATTCCATTAATATGATTTGCTAAGCTGGAAATATTCCTCTATTGAAATGCTTTAAAAGAACAAGATGAAATTCTTACTGGAAACAATGTGCTGTTGACAACACAGCTCTGCTATTAAGAACAGCGCCAACACAAGTTTGGGTGTAGAAGGCCAAGTCGGCAGTGTACAAGAGAGCTGCAGTGTACGGATGGTTTTCAATTGAAGTTTCTACTCCACCAACAATTACATTAAAGTCCTTTTGGCCTGCGTAGTGAAAAACAAATTAAAACCCCATAGAACCATTTAAAAAAAAACATTAAGTAATTATTAGGAAAATGTATAAGTTCATACCTGTAGCGGCCGCAATGCCGATGGCCAGAAGAAGAATGACTTGAGACGGAGTCCACATTTCTAGAGACTACTGTACGGAATGTGGCAGCTTCAACTTTTATAAATACATGTAATCCTGTTCACAACTTATTAAGATAAGCCGTCATCACAGATAATATTTGATAGGTGTCTTATAGTGGAATCTATTGTTATAAATAGCAATAATTCGGTAACGATAAACGAATTACATGATATAGGCGATTGAGGTTTGACTTGATAATAAGTTAATATTACATCACGTCATAGACTTGATCGCATTTATTCGATTTATTTACCCAACCGAAGCTTTTCCTCTATAATTTTATTGATTACTATAAGTAAAAACCAGACATTTTTGCCACTCTGGATATCTCTACAAGTTTATGTAACGTCAAATAAAGTAACAATAAAAACTACTTACATTTATGGACACACATACTGAGCTGGCTCAAGTTTTCGATATCGGGATGTACATCGTATTGTTTCATTATGATGCATATCAACAGAAAGCGCCCCCTGGTCAGAATTTTTATATTCTTGACTAGCTGTTCCCATGCGACTTCATTCGCACAAAATTATAAAAAAAATCATTTTATTGTTCACGTTTGTCAAATTATCAATTGCAAATGTCAAAATGACACGACGTGATGTCAAATCATGGCAACTTTCCTTGATATTGGCAGCAACTTATGGTCTCTTTCCCACATTAGGGTTTTTGTCCAAAATATTTACCCTTAAGTTCAACAGCGTGAAATTACATAGCCTAAAGCATGACGTAAGTGTAGGGCTTTTTAATAAAAAAAGAGTTATCCGAAAATATGCTGTGATTGCTGACATCTTAGGTAACAAAGAAGTGTGTGTTTACGCTTTATTATATTAAGTATAGATTAGACAATACCTTTATTTTTAATTTTTATCTCCGGCACGACTAGACTGATTTTGATGAGGAGACGGCTGATAAACATAGGCATAAAATAGAGCACTTTTTTACTCTTGCACCAGTTGAGTTGCTGGCGACTGCTAGTAACTACATTCATGTATTATGTGAAGCGAAAACTTAATAACTTAAAAGGTTAAGGAAATTTCACAAACGGATGAATGTAAAATTTGACAGAATTAATTGGGTATGTGCTCAAAGCTAATTTAAATCAAAACAAAAACAAATCAAAGTGATTATGAATGATCACGAATTTTCACCAATGCGTAACTACTGGATAAAAAAGGCAAAAATAACTAATCAAAACACTGCTATGTATTTTAAATCAGTACACTGGTAAACGATTTAAGCATTCGCCACAATCCAGGAGGTGAAGTATGAAATACGAGTGTTAACTCCAGGGTATCTAGGGTCAGCGCATCCTTGTCCTCCAGAGCTTAAACCGACGACAACGTTGTTATGAAGGAGAGGGCTGCCTGAGTCGCCTTGGCACTGGTCGCGGCCACCAACGCCGAGCCAGCCGGAGCACAACATGTAATCCTGAATGTACACGTCCACACCCGCATAGATTTCTTTGCATTTGTTTTGATTTATAGTCCAGATCTGAACGTGACGCAGTTCCTCTGAAGATGGTCCTCCTTGCTGTTTGAAAAATGTACCAATAAAATATATTTTAATACACAATTTTTGACAAGAACAATTTTGATATATGACCTAAGTAATTAAAAAAAACTTACGTAAATCTTGCCCCATCCGATAGCCCAAACAACTTCGTTGTCTCTAAGGTTGTAATTAGTGCCAGCAATAGTGCCAGGACGTACGTTGTTGTTAAATGTGAAAGGCAAAGAGACGTGCAAGATAGCAATATCGTGACTCCCTTCTTTGTGCTCGGGATGTAGGATGATTCGGTTAGTACTATGAACGGCGCCACCGCTATTGGCGTAAGTAGATCCAACACGGCTGCGCCACATATATTCATAGTTAAAGTAACTGTAAAATTTTTTTTTTAATTTATTTTAAGTTCTCTTATAAAGTTTTAAATTAAAAAAAAATTAAAACTTTATAAGAGATACATACCATAAATAATGAGGTTGTTAAAGAAAGAACCATTTATAAATTAACTAGCTTTCGTCCGCAGCTCCGTCCCCGTGAAATTAAAAAAAAAACAAAACTAAGTAGCCCATGTGTCCTTCAAGACTATCCGCTACATCAACGCTAAATTTCATCAAGATTTATTTATTTGCCCAGGATACAAACTTTAACAAACATCCATCCATCCACCTAAACATTCGCATTTACAATGTAAGTAATTAGTAACATTGTTTTTTCCTAACTCAGCAGAATTTTTTTCTATCATATCTCTGCGAGACGTGTTTTATAGGGTGCATTGGTTTTTTTTTTAATTATCAGAATCTTCTGAGTTTAATACTTACTAGAAACAATGAGCGGCACTTAAAATAGATCTATTGTTCAAGATGGTTCCACCGCAAAGTTGTACATAAGCTGTACCATCGAAGGAATGTAGTAAAGCAGCGCTGAACGGATACTCTGAAATATTTGTTACTGTCCCACCAACAATCCTTTGTGGGTTCCTAGGGTCAGCTGTAAACAAATAACAATAATTTATAACTTTGTTTTAAAATGTTGAAATGAAATGACTATGCGGAAAATCCATTATTTATCTACTTTAAAAACCGGAATTGATTAAAATATTTGTATTAACGTGTTACTAAGGGCGCAATTTTATTAGTAGCTAGCACCTTCATGTGTGATGCAAGAGACTGCCTGTTCACAAGTGTAATGCGCTCGCATGCGATAACAGTTTTCATTAGGGCCCGGAGGCCCGGATGAGTTGAGTGATATTGAAGTCGTCAACTGAATCCCCGCACCATGCATCCTTTATAGCGACTGATCATTTTCTGTAACCCGTTTGCGGGGTCACCCGCATGCTTTATAACGAACAGTCATTGACTAATGTAATAGCGCCCTAACATTTATGATCGACTCTAACACCGAATACTCTAGAAATTTACTTCAAAATAAAAAAAAAAGTATTAAAAAGGAGTTAATGTTAAATAATATTATTTTTTATTCAAATTAATCTTATCTTAATTCTTGCTAATATTATAAATGTGAAAGTTTGGATGGATGGATGTTTGTTAGAGTTTGTAGCCTAAACGGCAGAACAGATTTTTATGAAATTTGGAACAGAGGTAGATGATAGTCTAAAAGAACACATATAAAAATAAATCAAAAGCGAGTAGACTTTTGTTTTATTTTTAATTTAACACAGTCGCGGTCGAAAACTAGTATGTTATAAAACGTAGTGCTATGTAAAAAATCTGTTTATATACTGCTACTTGAATGAAATATTTTTACCTGCCACTGCAGCCAAGGTCACAGCTAATACGAGAAAATTAATACGCATTATTGAACTCTAAGAATCAGTTTGTCCCAAATTATTGTGTCTCTCATATTTATACAATTTTTATTGATCATACGATATCATTTAATCAGATATCATTTAAAATAAACTATAAAAGATAATTAAAAAAGCAGATAAAACAGATCTTAGAAGTTGTTTGTTTAATAATTATCTTTTTAACAGTATGTACCTTTATACTTATACATGTACATACTGTTAAAAAGATAATGTCATATCCGGATATGTTGCATTTTTTTATTGAAGCGCCTGTAAGAATATTTTAACACGGAAAATAAATGTCGTACAAAACTCTGTTTAATTACATAGCAGTTTTCGAGTTAATTGCGAAGAATCATCTTACTATCCATTCATTCGTCCACTCATCCTTTTATCTTTTCATCTATTATTCGCTTGCATATAAAAGGATGTAAAAAAATAGCAATTGGTCAAAAATAGCAAAACGATTTTAGCAAAGATAATTTTGTTTAGCTAATTTTTTCCTTGCTATTTTTTCCTTACAGGGGCTTTAAAGAATGGTACAGTTTTTTATAAAGTTCATTGTTTGACTTAGTTTTTACGGCCGGTCGGCTGTCTATCGTCAAATATACTTGGGATAAACAAATTAAAATCAAGTATTTATTACTAGAAACCTAGAAATTACTTTTTAAAACACACATGATTACAAAGTACGAGTATATTAGAATCGCAGAAAATACAGAATATACCAGTAAGATAAGTAATAAAAATATACAAATAGAAAGTAATATATTTGGAGTATTTTAATAACTTATGCTATCTATCTTCACTCGTTAATTCCGATGTATCGCTAAAGATAGAAATTTTAGTTTTATTTTCACCCAAAGACGTTTGAAAATTGTATTTTATCATCGCCAAGATATTTATTTACAGGAAACTCAAGCTCCAAGGAAAGCTCAAAATAGTGAATTAATTTAAATTCAATAAATGTTTACAAGTTATGTTTGTAGTGATTGATAAGATAGGAAGCAAATAGTAGTTTTTCCGAAAAATATAATCCGTGTGGCATTATCTTTAGGAAGATTAATAGATTCAGATAAACAGCTTTATCTGGTTATAAGTGGCATATGAATTAAAACATTTCCGGTCGAACTAAATTTTAGATAATCTACTACTATGCCTACTACTACTATATAATATTCATTTTTATGTAAATGTCTACTTTGCCCATTATTTATTTTACATTCACATATTCACATTCCTTATTTATTGAAAATGTTATGGAATTAACAATTTTTCTACAGGCTGCCATAACTTTGTATTTCAGAGCAATGTTTCTTTAAAACTTGAGGTATAAACCTAATGAGGTTTTTAAATAATAGTTTCATGTGAGTTAATAAGTCTTTTAACGGAGCGAAAATGAAGGCACTTTTATCACTTTAGGTACTGTTTTCATTCCCATATAATACAGTGGATGTTATAATAATAAATATAATAAATTGGCTTGGTGATCAGTTTTAGCCACGCTAAAAAATAAAAACTTACAACATTTTATGTTTAAATTAGGTTTATTTGGAAACATAATAATTTATGCATTAGATTGGATCCAGGAGGTGTAGCGTGAAACACGAGCATTAACACCAGGATAGTTAGCGAGAGCGCACTCGTGTCCCCAGGAGCATACACCGACGACAACATTGTTGTGGATGAGAGGGCCACCAGAGTCGCCTTGGCACTGATCGCGACCACCGACACCGAGCCATCCGGAGCACAACATGTTGTCGGTGACTACACGTCTAGCGGCATAACGTTGCCTGCATGTGTTCTGGTTGACAGTCCAGACTTGTACGTGTCGCAGTTGCTCAGAGCTTGGTCCTTTGAACTGTACAAAAAATTACATCAAAATGATGAGAGTATAGTACGTTTAAAGCACAGAGCAATGAGGGCAATATATTCATATTAAAGTGATGTACTATTAAACCATTGGAAATCTGATAACCATGCAATAGGCATGCATCATTGTAAAATTTTAATTTTATTAAAAAAAGCTATTGTGAAAATGTCTTAATGCGATTAATACAAAATGATGTTATTTATAAATTCTGCTTACAGAAGTAGCGCCCCATCCGATAGCCCAGACAACTTGGTTGTCAGCAAGGTTGTAGTTGGAGCCCGCAATGCTCGCGGCGCGTACATTATTGTTGAACACGAAGTTGGAAGAGGATCGCAAAACAGCAATATCGTTGTTTTCGTTGCGGGGATCGTAGTTGGGGTGCATGATGATTCTGTTAGTGTTGTGAACGACACCGCCGCTGTTGGCGTTAGTGGATCCTACACGGATGCGCCACATATTTGCTGTGTCACCACTGCAATTATGGAAAAAAATATAGAAGTGTTTAAATTATTTTACGTAACGTTTGTTTCGATTTTCATCAAAAACACTTACAGGAAACAATGAGCAGCAGAGAGAATAGCTCTGTTGTTCAAGATGCTACCACCGCAAGCTTGCCAGTAGGTGGTACCACCCCAAGAATACAGCAAGGAAGCGCCAAATGGATATTGTCCGATGGTAGTTACCGATCCACCAACAATCCTTTGAGGATTTCTGGGGACAGCTGCAAAGATACAATAATATGAGTATTGTTTTTCTCCGTTCTTTTATCATCTCGTTTTTAAAAATACCCCGTCATGATTTTTTAGCAATTCATTTCTTGCCTGTGCCTAGTGACATGTATTTAGAATGAGCATATTTCTAGAATGCAATCGTAAATCGAAATAAATATTCTTACCTGTGGCTACAGCTAGGCCTAAGGCCACCAACAGAACACTCAACTGCATTATGAAACTCTGAACCAACTATTCCAAATTACGCTTTATCCCTCGTATTTATACAAATGTTAGAAGTCGATATGGTAATCTGATAATCATTTCGCTTAATTATAAGATAATTACAACGGGATTATTCTTTTATGGTGACACACGTACAGATATATAGACTACGCCATTTCTGCGGAAGCTTTGAAACTCTTAACAAGTCTTTATTAAATTTTCAATGTTTGCAATGTGGTAAAATCTTGCAACTAAAACTCAAGCTGTTAACTACATGTGATTTTTTTTTTGTATTAATTCAAGTACAAGGATAGCTATAGGATGGGTAGTTTTATAGCGGTAGAGCCCACTTTAAGGCTCTCTATTTGAAGAAATCCTGTTCTATACTTCCAAAGATGCGCAATTTGCTATAACCGCGCCTTAACATCTTCGCACGAATGGGCCGGCTCGCCCGGTGCAATACTACGACCACACAGAAAACGCAATTCAAGGAAGGATGCAATTCCGCGTTTCGTCTGATGAGTGTGGTGTCGGAGGCCTAATTCCCTTTCCTTTTCCACCCTCTTCGTCAGAGGAAAGTATGAGAAGGAAAACTGGATTTGACGGTGGAGGAAACGCATTGGAAGGGGAAATGTGCGTCTCCTCCTCCGTCAATTAAGGGTAGCCAACGCATCTGCAATTGCAGATGGCTACAAACAGCGGTCGGTTTCCATTTCGGTGGATTCAAGTGGCCACTTGCTCGTTTGCTATCTTAACTATATTATAAAAAAAGCTCAATTTTTCTACAGACCCTTCATTTTCACATTACTTGTATTTATTTATTTCAGTAACGTATCTTAACAGAATATTACTCTAAAACATTTTTACAGATAATAATTAAAAAATGTTCAATACAATATGCTCTTATAATGAATTTGGTACGTATATTTTAACCTCTCGTATTTTGTAATTTTGAATTATCTTTTTGTTAATTATTGATTAACATTGTACGCCGAATATGGAACATTTCTTTTAAAATATTGTTGAAAAATTATTGCCTATATTTGCATTATAGTAATTAGTGTCTGCTAAGTCAATTTTATTCTAAAGAACAGTTTAAACTTGTAGTTTAAAATAATTAATAACTATTACGAGCTTTCTATAAATGTGAAAATATCTGAAACTTCGTTCAAATTTCATTCTTCTGCCTTCCTTCTTTTTCAATTTAGGCAACTAAATTCAACATTAATGAATCTTGTTTAGTTGCAAGCGACATGTTTTCAGCTAAGAAATTTGGTACTCCATTAGAATGTAGACTCTATGCACTGGTGCATTATGTTGAAGAATAAAATCAATATTTTAAACAAAATACTCGTACATTTATTCATATGCGATCAATTAACTCAACATACAATCGTTGTCTAGGTAACATAAAGCATGGAATTACACAGTACTGATGTCCAATTCAAGATGTACAGTATGATTATTAGGGGACATGATAAAACCGTTTTAGGCGTTGGCTTGAATCCAAGATGTGTAACGTGACACACGCGCATTTACACCTGGGTAAAGAGGGCTACCACATCCCAAACCCCAAGAGCATACACCGACGATGACATTGTTGTGAATGAGAGGGCCGCCGGAGTCCCGTTGGCATTGGTCGCGGCCGCCGACGTCCAGCCAGCCGGAGCACAACATATTATCAGTGATAGTCAGTTCTGTATTGCCGTATCGTTGTCTGCATATGCTTTGGTTGATAGTCCAGATTTGAACGTGACGCAGAATTTCAGTGCTAGGTCCGTTAAACTGTTAACAAAAAATATAATATAACTTTTGAATATAATTTATAAAAAAACAAAAATAGAAATGTTTATCGAAGTTCAGACGGGTTTAGGGTTTACTTTTACCTTAACTTATTTCTAATAAGAATATATATACTTACAACGGTAGCACCCCATCCGATGGCCCAAACAACTTGGTTGTCAGCAAGGTTGTAGTTAGAACCAGCGATCCTTCCAGCTTGCACATTGTTGTTGAACGCAAAGTTAGAGGAAGCACGCAGAATACAAATATCATTGTCCTCAATAGTTGGGTTGTAGTTGGGATGCAATATTATTGTGTTAATATTGTGAACAACGCCGCCGCTGTTGGCGTAAGTGGATCCGACACGGATACGCCAAGTATTTGGCACATGACCTCTGCAGGGAACAAAAGTTATGAAAAATAAAAAAATCACAGATTCTTTTGATAATTATTTAACATTTTTGTAGTTTACTTCTTTTTTGTCAGCGAAAATTGTTAATATATATAACTAGAGTCGTAAATTTGTAAATAAAGCTAGACTACTTATTTCTATTTAAAGAACTTTAAACACATACAGGAAACAATGTGCTGCCGAGAGGATAGCTCTGTTGTTTAAGATGGTTCCACCACAATTCTGCCAATAGGTAGAACCATCGTAAGTAATCAGCATTGCAGCACCAAACGGATACTGAGAAATAGTAGTCACCGTTCCACCTACTATTCTTTGATCACGCGTTGGACCTGCTGTAATCAAATAATAAATAATAAAGCGGAATATTAGTGATTTTCCAATGTTTCTTCAAAGACATTCATAATATTAGATTTTAGTTTAGTATATGAGTGGCGAATGAAATAGTAAATTACCACAATTTATTCTTACCAGCTACAACAGCCACGCCCAAGGCCATCAGTATAACGCTAAGGCGCATTGTAAAACTTTGAAAAACTTTGAATCAAATGACTGTTCGCATCTGTTAGGCTTACATTTATACAATAGTTAATGGCATAAATCTAGATATCAGATATCTTTTCATTTTAATTTTAAGATAACTAGCTAATAATGATATAAAAATTGTGAACATATGGAGGAAATCATTTCAATGTTGATAAAATTTAATTTATCCTAGATGTCCGATGCCGCCACCGGAAAAACAGACGTGAGTGTTAGCCGTTTAATAATTAGTCATAATAATGTCTCACGAAAGTTTAAACAATTTAATTATCCAAGACATATCGACAATTAAGAAATATGAAAAACGTATTAATAACAACCAACTTGGAAGGGTATAAGATCGATTGTAATTCCAGTACTACAACCATAAGACGTCGGGTTAGCGAGCCTAGCTTGAAAAGTTGCGACAGAGTATTCGTAACGACTTCTTTATTTATATAAACTAGCTTACACTATGTGATCAAAGTGTGTGGGTGTGTCCAGACTATGCAAAATTTCGTCGTGATCCATTCAGCCGTTTAGGCGGAAAGCTCTAACAAACATCTATCCAGCCATCTAACATTTCGCATTTGTAACATTGGTAAGATGATTTATCAGCCGTACTTTATTACTGCTTACTGTACTAAATAAATTTCATACACTACCTGCCTTCGTTTTTCATTTATTATCGTTATTTCTTATTTTCATATGTATTAGAAATACTCGTATTTTCATAACCCTCATTACAAAAAACAACTAAGTTTGTGTACAGGTGTATCGGAAGCCGAAACTTATAACGCACGCGATTAAAAATAATTCAATCATAAATTATTTAGCGGAAAATACGACGTTTATCTTCTTTAAACGGAAGCGATAAAATTGTAATTAAATTGATATTAAAATTATATTTTTATTTATATTCACGATGTAGTAGAAAAGCCGCATCATAAAACTTTTAATTTTTATTAAAATAATTTTAAGAACAACGACAATTTTTCTCTTGATGACGCGAAATTGCTAAGCGAGTAGCTACTTTATTACCACATCACTTTAGCACCAAAACAAGAAATATTTTCTACTTCTAGGTAGTATTGATTTAAATTTACAAAGGTTTTTTTTTAAAAATTGTATTACATTAATTTGTATATTGTAGAATATGCTCTACAGTCATACTGGCTTATGAAGAGTTGTTTTTTTATATTTTATTTTGTAACTTTTGCATAATATTGAGGGACTTTTTTGCAAGTACATTTAAATACATGTAGTAGTTAAAGTAAAGTAAGTCTAAGTATTAGTTATTACTTATCAAATTTTATGTAGAGAAAAGCTGAAGGCTATGGAAGAAATGCATTATTATTTTAATTGATAGTAGAACGAAAATTCATCGAACAAATCATGACTTACAACAATGGCCGACATTGAAAAAATTCTATTAGATTTATACAGCTACCTGGCGGGCTTGTAGTAATGTCAGTATATCTCATACTTTATCTCCCGCAACTGTCACGCAAATAGTCGTGATTAATCCCCAGTATTAGTAAATTGATTTTAATGACGAAAAAAAGATGATAAAATAAACATGGTATTCAAATGATGTTTTTATATTTCAAAAAGTTTTTTTTTTTTAAATACAGAAATTTTAGGCATTTGATTGGATCCAAGAAGTATAGCTTGAAACACGAGTATTAACACCGGGATGTTCAGCGCGGGCACATTCGTATCCCCAGGAGCATACACCGACGACAACGTTGTTATGGATGAGAGGACCACCAGAGTCGCCTTGGCACTGGTCGCGACCACCAACATCGAGCCATCCAGAGCACAACATGTTGTTAGTGACCTCACGTCTATCAGCATATCGTTGCCTACATGTAGCCTGGTTTACAGTCCAAATTTGAACGTGACGCAATTGTTCGGAACGTGGTCCTCTGTACTGTAGGAAAATTAAAGAAAAATTACAGAGATTCTAAACCTATAGCTTTATATCCATGTTGTGTTCTATAGTGCAAAATAAATCTCCCAATTTATCTTTACTCAGTCCACTTTTAGTGTTTGCAAATTTCTTCAGAGTGATGAGAAAACAAGTAAGCAACTCAGAAGAGAATAAATCGTTTTAATACTACTTTAGTATGCTTATACTTACAGAAATAGCACCCCATCCGATAGCCCAAACAACTTGGTTGTCAAGAAGATTATAATTAGGACCCGCAATACTTCCAGCACGCACATTGTTGTTGAACACAAAATTAGAAGAAGCTCGGAGTATAGCAATATCATTGACGTAGGTGAAGTCATTGTATTCGGGATGCAAGATTATTTGATTGGTGTTATGAACGGCACCTCCGCTGTTGCGGTAAGAAGATCCAACACGTATGCGCCAATTAATTGGCGAGGTGTAACTGGAGATAAGAAAATGATTTAAAACATGCTAGGTTTTTTTAATGTACTTATATAAAAAAGTACAATTGCATATAGATATCCTTTGAAGAACATATGTGACGATTTACTTTCGATCACAAAGATGATGTTTTTTGCACATAAATGGTTAAATATCAACTAAATCGACTAAAAGAATTAGGATTATTATAAAATGTATATTTTGATATGTTGTTTGTTATGTTAATTATTATTCAAACATAGTAACTTTTTTCTGTGAAGCTATTTGTTCTGATCGTGACGATTCCAAAAATAACATTGCGATTTTATGTACTTACATAAAACAATGAGCAGCAGAGAGTACAGCTCTGTTATTCAGGATGGTTCCACCGCAAGCTTGCCAGTAGGTTGTAGCGACTGACGAAAATAGCATACCAGCCCCATATGGATACTCTGATATAGTCGTTTCTGATCCACCAACAATCCTTTGAGGATTTCTAGGAGCACCTGTAATCGTTTAATCAATCAGTAGATTTTCTTTTCAATAATAATTATTTTTTCGAATCTTAATAACGCCATGTGCTGCATGAAATCCGATAGTTGTTTCGGTGAATGGACTAATAGCGAAGAGTTTCGACCAACAACTCATTAAGCTCTTGCTATACAGTTGGATAAAGGGCCCGATTCAAAAAGCGGTTATTTTAGAAAACGCACGCTTAATGAGGAGATTCCTGTCTCTGAAGTCTTTATCACTGGCTGTTTGCGTCATCAGATTCCGTAGCGTGCTGTGCACAATTTTTTATATAATATGTTTTATATATTTATTTACTTTATTGTTAAATGTTTTAAGTAAGTATTATAAGAGAACGAAAGAGATAAGTATTCCAAAATAAGGTAAAATAAATATTTCATAACGGAAAGTAGTTAGATAACAAGTATTACTTACCTGTCGCCACAGCCAGGCATAGGGCCAATGCTAGAAGAATAATCCGCATTGTTGACTCCTAAGAAACTTTGCGTCAAATGATAGTTAGCGTTCTATGATTTGTATTTATACATAAAATGCCGTAAATTATGAGATTAATCGAAGATATTTTGATGATAATTTATTTAATTAATAAGATAAACTAAAACTTCTTATGTATCAAATTCTTGCTTGTTGTTAAACTTTTGCGTCAATGATAAATCACGTATAAAATAGTATTTTTCACAATAAAGAATCTTCAAAGCTTATCTTTTCAGAATCAGGTTTTTTTTAATAAATAACTTTGTCAGCTTGTCTGCTTTAGACAATTTATTTTTTCATATTTCATTATAAAAATTTAATTTTGAATATCCGATCAATTTTAGTCGACGATATGGATAGATTAAAATTGGTTTTCCCGAGTGTTTTGTGGAAATGAATTACATTATCTACATTTAATTCCGGAAACGATAAAGTTATTCAAATACAGTAGATAAGTTATTGTACAATTGTTTAAGGACCAGATTTCTTTATTTGGATTTTGTGAAATTTTGAATTTTTTTTACAATGATTTTATTGTATTGTAAAATAAAAAAACTTTTATTAATATCCTAGTAACCTAACTCTGGACGAGAAGAAAACGTCATTAATTTTTTTTAATATCTGCAAGGTAGACCACGAATTTATAACCGACCATAAACGAAATAAACACTATTCGGTTTAAATACAAATTAAAAAATTCTTTCAGGTATTAATACGCTTTATTTATTGGTACAAAGCTTTAGGCGTTGGATTGTATCCAAGAGGTGTAGCGCGAAACGCGAGCATTAACACCAGGGTAAAAGGCGAGAGCGCACTCGTGTCCCCAGGAGCATACACCGACGACAACGTTGTTGTGGATGAGAGGGCCGCCAGAGTCACCTTGGCACTGGTCACGACCGCCGACATCGAGCCATCCAGAGCACAACATATTGTCAGTTACAGCCGAATTTCTAGTTGCATATCGTTGCCTGCAAGTGTTCTGGTTGACAGTCCACACTTGTACGTGGCGCAGCTGCTCAGAGCTTTGTCCTTTGTACTGTTAATAAAATAAAGGATCGTTAGATTTTAAGTGAATAAATTAACAAAAACCTAAATAAACTTCAATATATTATGAATTTCCTGTCGTATAGATTTTAAAATGAAATAGTTGTTAAAATTGACCAAAAAAAGGTTGATTCTTTGTGATTTCTTGTTCATGATTTTTATATTTATTTTTATTTTAATGCTGTCAATTACATTTACAAACTATAGAGGAATAAACAGTAAATTTTAGTAACTAAAACAACGGTTTTGAATTTGTCATACTTACAGCAATAGCGCCCCATCCAATAGCCCAAACAGGTTGATTGTCACCAAGGTTGTAGTTAGATCCAGCAATACTTCCAGCGCGCACATTGTTGTTGAACACGAAATTTGAAGAGGATCGTAAAATAACAATGTCATTGTCGTAGTTACGGAAGTTGTAGTTGGGGTGCATGATGATTTGTTGTGTGTTGTGGACGACACCGCCGCTGTTGGCGTTAGTGGATCCTACACGGATGCGCCACCTGGCTGGTGTGTCACCACTAAAGAACAAAATAAAATAAAACAAAAGCCACAAAGCAGCTATATTTGATTTAAAGCACTTGATAAAACTTACTCTGTACAGTGAGCTGCACTGAGGACAGCTCTATTGTTTAAGATGGTTCCTCCGCAATTCTGTCGGAAACTTACACCGGTCCAAGAAAACAACAAAGCAGCGCCATAAGGATATTGTGTAATAGTGGTTGTTGATCCACCAACAATCCTTTGTTGATTCCTAGGGACAGCTGCAACCGGGAAACATAGTGTTATTCTTCTTTTATCGACAAATAAATAAATATCTAGCTTTTCATAACCATATTTTACCTGCCGCGACAGCTATGCCTAGCACCAACACTATAAAACTAAAACGCATTGTGAAATCCTGGGGAACTCTACACCAACTAATAGCAGACTCTCCGTGTCTTACATTTATAGGAAAGCTACTGTAGAATTAATTAAGATAAAGTACAAATCTGATATCAATTTGCTTATTTCAAAGATAATTTAACATACAAAGATAAAGTTTTATATTACGCTGATTGATTTTAGTCGTCACTGTATCTTGTCCTTTTCATATGATAGTAGTATGTCATTGTAGTAAGTTTTTTTTTTCATAAGTAGGCATAATATTTACATAGATAATGTTGCATTACATTGCTTTCTATTGAGATACAAAAAAATTTAACCACGAACTTTCTTTGATTTTAAATAGTTTCTTTTTCAGTAGAACTTTTGTAAAATCGTTACTGCAGAGATTTGGTTCGAAAGATTTGGTAAGAAAATAAAGCCAACTACTCGTATCTGTCTGTCAATATACGACAAAGCATATCTATTATATTTACCGAAAGTGATAAAATTTTTAAATAAATTGATACTAATTACATAAACAGCTTATAGCTATGAACAATCCTACTTTCGATGTTTCAATATGTTAAGTATTACCGTAATTGTTATCGATTGATTTCAATAATTTCTTTCTGCATTATGTCATATTTCATCGAAATCCGTTTAGCTATTTAGTACATTCTCTAACAAATATCCATCTAAACTTTCACGTTTTACAATATTAGTAAGAGTACTTATGTAATTAATGTCTTATAATCAACGATAAAAACTCAGTTACACAAAAACGAATAATATTACAGGAAATCATTATTTAATAGGTTGATGAAGAGGGTTCCTTTGAGAAATCCACCTGCATAGATTTTGTAACCTTCTTTATCCATTGTAATGACAGTTTTGTTTTTAATTTAATTAAATTATATGAACTCGGCCAACAGATTTAATACCAAAGGATTGCGGATCAGTAAGAGTTGTTAATTTGATTGATATTATCTTTTCATTATCATCGTTGTCGTCATCAGCTTACTATAGTTCCGCGCTCCAGGACTGCGAGCCTATCCTGAGTAAGGGGTGACCATGCTATAGTCCTCCACGCTGGGTAACTACCGAGTTGAATTACTTAAATTATCTTAGGAATGTAATCAATTCTGTGTATTTGTAACTTGCCGATACTTTTTTGGCAGGTGTTTCACATTTCAATACTAAACTCAAATTTGCTAAGAATTGTACATCCTAGACAATATATTAATATGAAGAGCTTACTTGTCTCAGTATTTAAGCCCTTGACTTGTAATCTAGGTTCGAATCCTGCCATGTCCCAATGTGGTTTTTTAATTTGTACTTTACATTTACTCGACGTTCTTACTGTGATGGAAAATATCATGACACCTGAACATATCGACGAAGATATTCAAAGATGAAAGAGTAAGAATTCAACCAACTATCACTAGGCTATTGAGATTGACGATGGCCTAGTCACCCCTGACTTAGAATTGGCACCAAACCTCTCAATGGGGAGGTACAGTGAGCTGATGGTGAAGACAATTCGTATTACCTTTTATCATTGATAATAATGATCAACACAAGTTATGATTAATTATTAATTAAATAATTCGAAGTTAAACAAGCTCAATGTATTTAAAGCATTTTATTCAATCATCAAGTTTGTCATTACATTTTAAGCATTGGATTGGATCCAAGAGGTGTAGCGTGATACACGAACATTAACACCAGGGAAGAATGCGAGAGCACATTCGTGACCCCAGGAGCATACACCGACGACAACATTGTTGTGTAGGAGGGGTCCGCCAGAGTCTCCTTGGCACTGGTCGCGGCCGCCGACATCGAGCCAGCCGGAACACAACATGTTGTCTGTGATAGATGCTCCCCTGGTAGCGTAACGCTGCCTGCAAGTGTTTTGGTTGACTGTCCATACTTGAACATGGCGTAGCTGCTCAGAGCTTTGTCCCCTGTACTGTAAAAAACAAGGAAATGTTATTTTTACTAAGAAAGTTAGAACTAAAACTTTTTACAATAATTTTTATACTCGTTGTAATAAATTCAACTTTAACGTTTCCCTAGATGTGATGCTCCGTTGAAAAGTCCTACAAAAAATTGTCGTTAAGAATAGCTGTATATGTTGCCTACGTGAGATATTTTTTTACTTGAGTCTAATTTTTATACATTTGTGATGCAGTAATTTTAAAACACAATTCATGATTACAAATTGGATTGTAAAAAAAATCACTAATGGATTAATTTTTGGTCCCAGGATTAGGTATGAGGAGATACAACATTTCTCTTGCTAAATTTATACGACTACATATAAAGATTATTATGAATAAAAAGTTGAATATTATGATTATGCAGACTCACAGCAATAGCGCCCCATCCGATGGCCCAAACAGGTTGATTGTCAGCAAGATTATAGTTAGAACCCGCAATACTTCCAGCGCGCACGTTGTTGTTAAACGCGAAGTTAGAAGCAGCTCGTAAAATGGCAATATCGTTGTCCTGAGTGCGAGAGTTGTAGTTGGGGTGCATGATGATTTGGTTACTATTATGGACGACACCGCCGCTGTTAGCGTTGGTGGATCCAACTCGCAAGCGCCATCTTGATGCTGTATCACCACTACAATGAAATAATAAATTATTAACTCTTAAGAATACGAATACAGCATGAATAAATAAACTATGACTTTGCAGCCTTCTTTATTCATTGTACTGACAGTTTTGTTTTACGGCCAACAGACTTTATACCAAAACATAGCATTTCAGTAAGAGTTGTAAATTTGATAGATATTAACTATCTTATTATTTTTACTTACATGAAACAATGAGCAGCAGAGAGTACAGCTCTATTGTTAATAATCGTTCCGCCGCAAGCCTGTCGGAAGCTAATACCAGTCCAGGAATACAGCATAGCAACTCCAAACGGATATTGTGTAATAGTGGTTGTTGATCCACCAACAATCCTTTGTTGATTTCTGGGGACAGCTGAAACGACAAGATAAATCATAAAGTCGTTTGCATCTTATTTTTTTGGATTGCAATTAAATAACCACCACTTTACGTTTTTGTGTTTTGGTTATGTTACAGTTTTCATATATATCAAATTCCTGTCCTTATCCTACCCTATGTAGGAGTTTGGACGCCTCAGATTTTCGTGCTCCATCTATTTACGTGTTCACTGCTTTCTTAATCAGGTCGTTCCATCTCTTCCTTATGCTGAGATAGAATTACTAATCCTATTGATGTACCCCTCCATTCATATTAAAGAAATGCAATGCATGTTTTCCAACTCGCATGTAATTATTTTCCCCACGTAACATGGCCATGATGATTTGGCTTACTTTTAAACAAAGACTATTTAAGCTCTTTGTGTTTGAGGTGGCAGTTGCCATTGAAACAAAATACTCAAATGAAATTCATAGAATCTAAGTCTGTACGTCAATGATGCGTTGGACGTGATAAAAAAATCTTAGCTGAAAAACGTCAGGGAGTGGACCAACATTGCCGTTGTCTAAGACTAGTTTCGCTTGGTTTAAGATAGGGAGAGATTTCCTAAGCTAACCAGAAAAAAGATGTCAATGATGATAAGTCTCACCTGCCACCACAGCAAGGCCTACGGCCAACAGCAAGAGTGTAATACGCATTGTTGAAATGTTCTAAAGGTATTGAATAATGGAGTCGCATATTTATACAACAAACAATTGCGTAATTTAAGATACTGTCCGATAACAACTACCTAAGTAAAAGATTACTTCAAAAAAATCAAGAAGATTATCGTAACATGTATATTGTATTTCCAATACGATAATTAGCAGAAATAGTTGGTTTTAGAACTGAGATTATAGCTTTAGAAAAAAAACTTAAACCTTATTAAAGATCATTGTAGTTTATAGTTTGTGTTTATTTTTATTGATTAATAAGATTATGTGCTGTCGAGATTCTTATAACATATTTTAATTGCCAAATCATTTATTTCTTGAAATACGTTCTAGTAAATAATTCATTGGAAACACAAAACAACATTTAGTTTCGCTTATATAAATGTTAACACATAAAATTAGAATATAAATATTTACTCTTATCATATATCAGAGAATCTATAATCAAATAAGATATAATTGTAACTCTGATTAAAAATAATTGGATAATTGACCAAGACGTCTAATCTATATTAAAGGTAATTGAAATAATCCAAAGATATATTTTAAGGCAATTTACAAGGAAAAAAAAAACTTGTTGGATTAAAAAACTTTTCTATACTGGTCATCAGATGTTATTTGTAAATGATGGCAGGTTTCCACACAGAAATTCTAGCCGCACGTCTTACACTTACATGCACTGCGGACCAAATTAAGTACTAAAAGTTACTCGCGACAGACCGTACCTACTATACGAGCAACAGAAAATAGTGTAGTTAGTCAAATATGTATCGACCGTACCGATCCAAACAAGATTGAATGATTCGGATTGTAGTCAGGTGAATTTGATATAAGATTGCATGCAAACTTATACTCTCTCGCTGTTTATATTATCACTGCTGGCACCAAGGTCTAAGCACAGCGAGAAGTTTGCATGTACTTTGCATATATACCATAGGTCCTATATACAAAGGTTTCGGAATCTATCTAAGTTAGGGGTGGCCCAGTAACCATTTGATCAACCTCGTACGGGTTAGCTGCCATGCTGTTTTACATTATTTTTCAACTTGTTAACTCCAAGATGTAGATGTGTGCCTAATATTAACCATATACCATATGATATAAATAAACTCCACTTTATTTTTCTTCTTCAACATGAGCATGCTTTTATCACTTTTCGATATAAAATAGTCTTTAGAAATATTGCTTGTTACTTGAGTAATTATCTGTGTAATCATTTTAACCATAAAAACCTACACGATAATAATATGTTTTCACAAAAGAAGAGAGGAAACCGAGCAGCGGGAACACCGAAGTGAACATGGCAACGCATGGACATCCGTAATGCCAGAGGAACCAATTTGATAAGGTGATATGCTCGCTTCTTGTATAATCCGAAGGCAATGAAAAATTCCATAAGATGTTACAAATAAAATAACATTCTTGATTTTCCCCTATGGACAGGAACTGGTGTTCAAACTAGATCATAGAAATAAAGTAACACAATTAATTAACATTCCAGTTAATTCTAAGTACTAATTTTATACTATATGTTTCGTTTGAGTTGAATAATGAGTGGATTAAGTTAATTTAAATAATAATATAATAGTTATATAATGGTATTATTAATTATTGTAAACGATGTACACAGTTTGTTCATAATCTTACTCTTCTAACATTTTAGAGAATTTAGCCGTACACAATATTTATGTAAAAAAAAGTTGAAGATGTTTAGAGTTTTGTTTACAATAGGCCCTATTTTTTAAACTAATGGAAAATTTCAATCACTTGCTTCTTTTGTTTCTACTTTCATATGTATCAATTCCAATATTTAAGCTTCGCTGTTACGAAGTTACGAGGAGCTACATAGAAACTGCTTTTATAAAATTCTTCACAGAGAAAATGGTAGGAAAAAAATCGTATTATGTTTCAAGTTACTTTATTTTAAAAAAATTAGGCGTTGGACTGGATCCAGGCGGTGTAGCGTGAGACACGAGCATTGACACCAGGGAAGTGAGCAAGAGCACATTCGTGTCCCCAGGAGCAGATACCGACGACAACGTTGTTGTGGATGAGAGGGCCGCCAGAGTCGCCTTGGCACTGGTCGCGACCACCGACACCGAGCCAGCCGGAGCACAACATGTTGTCAGTAATTCCTAATCCTCTAGAAGCATAATTGTTTCTGCAGGTGTTCTGGTTGATAGTCCAGACTTGCACGTGGCGCAGCTGCTCAGAGCTTGGTCCTTTGTACTGTAACGAAAACAGGAAGGTTTTAAGAATAAATAATCAGCGTATTTTTAATTGGTCGTAGTTGAAGACTTTTACAAAAACAAACATACTCAACCGACCGTGTAATATGACAACAATCAAACACTGTTTTTTGTAATCTTATTCAGAGTTGATTATTTTCGAAATCGTGTATTTTTTAATTTAATGTTATCAACAATACCACTTACAGCAGTAGCGCCCCATCCGATAGCCCAAACAACTTGGTTGTCTGCAAGGTTGTAATTGGAGCCTGCAATGCTTCCAGCGCGCACGTTGTTATTGAAGCCAAAGTTGGAGGCAGATCTCAAGATGGCAACATCGTTGTCTTGAGTGCGAGAGTTGTAGCTGGGGTGCCTTATGATTGAGTTAGTGTTGTGCACGACACCGCCGCTATTAGCATTGGTAGAACCGACACGGATGCGCCACATACTCGCTGAGTCCCCACTGTAATAAGAAATCCGTTATTATGTTCTAAACTAAAACTTGAATTCATCTTTGTTAAATTTATTTTTTCATAACTATTTTATACTTACATGAAACAGTGAGCAGCAGACAGAATAGATCTACTGTTCAAGATGGTTCCACCGCACGCTTGCCAGAAGGTCGAGCCACCCCATGAGTACAATAAGGCAGAGCCATATGGGTACTGAGCAATATTTGTTGTTGATCCACCAACAATTCTTTGCGGATTCCTGGGGCCAGCTACAACAATAAAATAACTTCATATATTCGTATAAATCAGTCTTAGCAAGTACATGCTTATGGATTGGTAATGTTAATTATTTGTTTTCTGTTCTGACCGATGTTTAATTGAAAACTTTAAAGCAAGATTGCCCTCATTAAATTAGAATACTTTATGAGTGTCACCGTAAAGCAGAAAGTCTTTGTTAACCAAGATAAACACCTTTTTAGATAGCATTTAAAAGAGTTCAACAAGATCGTTCCCTTTTTCAATGCTTCGCTATTTTTCTTCATTAATTCTCCTCCTCCTTTATCCATCACTAAAGTTAAATCCGTACCAATAAGAGAAGCATTCTTCTGCAATAGGCCACTTTACATCAGGTGTCATATTTACTCCAAGTACCAACGATATACTTTACGAATCGAAAATTACCATAGGGTTTTGTAATGATACTAACGTCGACGTGAGTTCTTAGGAACTACTTGTATTTTGTAAATGAAGATGATAGAATTTTAATTAATTGTTATGGTGAAGACAAATATAAATATATTTTCTTACCTGCCACCACAGCTAGGCCTACAGCCAACAGCAGAACACTTACACGCATTGTAGGGCTATGAGTAACTTTGTACCAAACTGTAGTTTGTGCTTATATTTATAATAGATGTCAGTGGCGTAATTTACGATACGGTCAGATAAAAATAATCCAAAGATAACTCTTTGTAAACTATACACATATAGTAATCAATCATTTACCGTGTTTTTTAAAGGATTTAACATTTGGTCTAATTCTAATAGTTACAAAGTGTTATAAAAATAACTTGAACTACTGGACTGTGTTACTTTTTCTATATGATAGGGTGGCAAACATGCAAGGGGAGACATGAGTTCGCAGAAGAAGCGAAGCGAACGCTACTCATATATATCCGTAATTGCAGATGCGACACCTGCCAGTAAAAATACTGAAAAGGAAACATGACAACGATCTCGACGACAGCGACGTTCATGAAGAGAATGTTTCTCTTCCGATTCTTTTTCTTATAAGAATAGAATTGGAAGGGTAAGGGACTGAAATTGGGCCTTTTGGAAAACAAGTTTAAATAATGGAAGGGGCTGTTGCGTCGCCTACTTCTAATGGATAAAGAATGAGATCTACAGAAAGAAGACACAAATCCTTCCAATACGTCTCTACTCCCGCCAAAGTCATTTATACTTCTCATTCTTTACTGATAAGAAATTGATAGGACGGGGATTGATTCGTGTAATCGTATTACAAACATTACTATTATTTAACCTGTAATTTTATAGTTTGATTACATACTATTTCCCAGACGCAACTATAGTTCAACTCGTTCATACTTACGGCAATAGCGCCCCATCCGATAGCCCAAACGGGCATATTGTCACCAAGGTTGTAGTTACTTCTTGCAATACATCCAGCAGGCAAATTTTTTTTGAATGCGAAATTGGAAGAAGATAGCAGGATAGCAACTTCGTTGTCTAGATTGCGAGAGTTGTAGTTAGGATGCATTATGATTCTATTACTGTTGTGGACGACACCGCCACTGTCGACGTTAGTGGATCCAACGCGGATGCGCCACTGATCAGCAGCGACGTGCCTGCAAACAAATAGAGCTTAAAGAGTTTAATAGAGTTTAAAACTTACAGCAATGAGCAGCAGTTAAAATCGATCTATTATTTGAGATGATTCCACGACAACTTTCACGGTGGTACGAGCCACTCCATGAGTACAACAAGGTAGCACCGTATGGATATTAGGAAATAGTGGTTATCGATCCACCAACAATCCTTTGAGGATTCCTGGGAACAGCTGCAATATAAAACAATGTAAAAAATTAAGTGTTTTAATTTACTTGATTGTTAGATTTACAATAAGAAGTAACTTACTGGTATATTTTACTAATAATTAATAGTTTTATTCTCACCTGCCACTACAGCTAAACCCAGAGCCAACAACAACAGAGCGGTCTGCAAGTCTGCAAAAGTTCCCATTTTTAGTGGACTCGTCGTAGAAACGAGGAGGCGTTTGTCACTCTCTGAGTGTAGCTTACGGCCAGCATCCACCTATATGCCCCCATCTCGAACCCTTCTATAGAAGCCTCCAAAGATCTCCAAAAATGTATACGTTTTATTCTTTCTTTGTCCAAGCCTTTCATGGCGCAGTACTTAAGAAGGCAGACCCGCAAACGTATTTTGATGTTGCGCCAGCATAAAATTTTTCGCATTTTCTTTAAATGCACACGTGCTCCTTCGATACATGTTTTGATTTCTTGGTCGCTTTCCCAATATTCACTTGGCCATGTACCCAAGTATTTATATTTGCGCACTCTCTTCAACTTTTGGCCGTTCACTGTTATGCAGTCCTCAGCACTAGACGCAGATGATAACATAGAAATATTAAATTATGGGAGTAATGACAGCAGCCACTTCTAAAAGTTTAAGTTACAAAAGTATTCATTACCGTTTTGCCTCCCCAATCAGTATATAGATGCCACAACTACGAGTAAAACGAATGTCGCTGATAACGCAACGCATTTGAAGTTTGACCGAACGATACTCCAATAAGTAAGGGCGTTAAATATTAGCATTAGAGCATGCGCACACCTGAAACTATCGCACAACTGTTTAGTCTCGCTTTGATTCCTTTGAGCTTATATGGAGGTGCGCACACTACTTGATTTTTAGTTGTGCAACTAAACAGTTAAATTGGCTGCGAAATAATCGATAATTACACAACAGTTGTGCGATAGTTTAGTCAAAGGTGTGCACTCGCTCTAAGTATTCTTTTGCATCGAATCTTACAATTAATGCTTTACTCAATCAAGGTTCCTTCATCCAGGGTGAATTCTTAAGCCAAAAACACTCATTATACATTATGTAACTAGCTTTCATTTCGTCAGCCCGAGATCAAAGAAAAAAATAAGGTAGCTGCTATAATATGTTAAGGCAACAGACATGTGCGTCGTCCGTCGATGATTAGGTCTAGGAAGTAGGAGGGGTTAGCTACCATTATTATAATCCTCTTTGAGATATGATTTTATATTTAATTTACGTTGTAGAATCCCCTAGGCAGAGGCAGGTGGCCACCCACGTGCGTCCCACCGCTAAATAATTATTAAAATAAAACAAAACATGTAGCAATTTTCAGCTAGACAGTTGTGTCGAGTTATTTGGTAAGAAATGTTTTCAATAATTATTAAACCTAATCAAACGGTTTAAAACATTCTGAGTACTTAAAGGTTGCTATCGAAACAATGATGGTTAATAATGTTTCAAGTCCGTTTATTTAAATAAATTAAGAATTAGACTGGATCCAAGAAGTGTAACGGGAGACACGAGCATTAACACCGGGGAAGTTAGCACGAGCACATTCGTGTCCCCAGGAGCATATACCAACGACGACGCCGTTGTGGATGAGAGGGCCGCCAGAGTCGCCTTGGCACTGGTCGCGACCGCCGACACCGAGCCAGCCGGAGCACAACATGTTGGCAGTAACTGATAATCCTCTAGCAGCGTAATTGTTTCTGCAGGTGTTCTGATTGACAGTCCAGACTTGCACGTGGCGCAGCTGCTCAGAGCTTGGTCCTCTGTACTGTAACCAAAACAGTGAGGTTATAAGTATAAATCAATCGGTGTTTTACAATTTTTCGAAAACGACGAAACGCGGAATTGCATTCACTTCACGCCTGTTTTCTGTGTGATCGTGGTATTGCACCGGGCGAGCTGGCCAATTCGTGCGAAGATGTTAAAGCGGGCTCTACCACTAACAGTGGTAGAGCCCGCTTATATGTAGTATAGTACTATAATAGTTTAATGAATAGTAGAGTGTGAAATGTTTGTTTGTAATCTCACTCTGAGGTGATTCTTTATAGAATCAACTCTCTTTTCCAAGTTATGTGTATCAAATTTATTGTTATTAACAATACTACTTACAGAAGTAGCGCCCCATCCGATAGCCCAAACAACTTGGTTGTCTGCAAGGTTGTAATTGGAGCCTGCAATCCTTCCAGCGCGCACATTGTTATTGAAGCCAAAGTTGGAAGAGGATCTCAAGATGGCAACATCGTTGTCTTGAGTGCGAGAGTTGTAGCTGGGGTGTCTTATGATTGAGTTAGTGTTGTGCACGACACCACCGCTATTAGCATTGGTGGAACCGACACGGATGCGCCACATACTCGCTGAATCCCCACTGTAATAAAAATTCCGTTATTGTATTCCAACCTAAGACTTGAATAATTCGTCTTTGTTCATAACTATTTTATACTTACATGAAACAGTGAGCAGCAGATAGAATAGATCTATTGTTCAAGATAGTTCCACCGCACGCTTGCCTGAAGGTCGAGCCACCCCGTGAGTACAATAAAGCAGCGCCATATGGGTACTGACCAATATTCGTTACTGATCCACCAACAATTCTTTGCGGATTCCTGGGGCCAGCTACAACGATTAAATAACTTCATGTATAACTCAGTCTTAGCAAGTACATGCTTATAAGTTATTTAATTATTTTTTTATATAGACAAAGTTAATTGTTTGTTTTCTTGTATAACCGACTGGATATTCCCGTGCGATTTCATCCGCATGATATTATAAAAACTTTATTTTATTGTTTACATTTGTGACTATCTCAATTGCAAATTTCAAAATTACTGTTACCATAATAACCTTGCTTTCTTAATGTTGGCAGCAACTTATGGTCTCTTTCCCACTTTAGGGTTTTTATCCAAAATATTTACCCCCTTAGTTTAATGGCGTGAAAATATTTAGCCTAAAGCGTGAGGTAAGTATGCTTTAACTGCTGACATCTTAGGCAACAAAGAAGTGTGTGTTAACGCTTTATTATAATACATATATGTTTAATTGCAAACTTAAAAGCAAAATGTTAACCTTAGTTAAGAAGAATCATTTCCATTTTAATTATAATTTTATATTATGTAACATTTACATTATAATTTTACACAAATAAAAGTCATAAAACTATCCTACACTCCACTACGACACTCTATATATGTTATATTGTAAATTGTAACCAGCGCACCCGCGGACAAACCAATTATATGGTTTTTGCGGGGCAATACTTGTGCATATTTTTTATTTGTTTTTATGTAAAATTTTCAATAAATAAATAATAAACATTAAAGTTAATGCTATAATATTACCAATTTAGGGAAGCATTCTTCTGCAGTAGGCCACTTCACAATTTTTACTACTAAGTACTAATTACCATCTACTTCAGGGATCAAATATTAGGGGTTTTGTAATATGAGGATACTAATGACGACGTGAGTTCTTAGAAACTCTCTGTATTTGAAAAATGAAGATTATAGAATTTTAAGTACTTATGAAGACAAATGTATCATATCTTTTCTTACCTGCCACCACAGCTAGGCCTACAGCCAACAGCAGGACACTCACACGCATTGTAGGGCTATGAGTAACTTGGTACCATAATGTTGTTTGTCCTTATATTTATAATAGGTGTCAGTGGTATAATTTTAGATACGGACAGATAAAAATAATCCAAAGATAAATCTTTTTAAACAAACAGATATAGTAATCAATCATTAATCAATCATTAAATCAATCCTTTTAAAAACAAATCATTAAAGGTGATGACATTGTTTTTAAAAGGAATGTAGATTTGGGATTCCTTCACCAATTGTTATACAAATAAATAACTTAAACTACGGGATTATGTTAACTTTTTTATATGGTAGTTACATGAATTTGCCAAAGAAGCGAAGCGTCCGCTGCCCTTAAACATCCGAAATTGCTGATGCGTTGCCTACCCTTTATCGACGGAGAAGACGCTAATGAAGAGAATATTTCTCTTTTCTATGCGTCTCCTCCCCCATCAAAACCATCATCTCTTCCTTTTAAGAATAATATGGGAAAGGTAAGAGTGAAATTGGGTCTCCGCACATTACTTTACGATTACCTCATAATGTTAAAAGGTAAGAAACTAACAAGCAACCACCTTATTTAAAAAAAATAGCAAATTGGCTCTCCATAGACTTCAAAAATAAGTTTAAATAATGCCAGAGGCTGTTGCTTAGCCCACTTCTAATGAACAAAGAAGGAGATCTACAGAAAGAGGATACAAATCCTTCCAATACGTCTCTACTCCCGCTAAAGCCACTTATCCTTCTCATTCTTTACTAATAAGAAATTAATTGGGCAGGGAAAATAGATTCACGTAATCGTGTTAAAATTGTCACTATTATTTAACCTGTAATTTTATAGTTCGATACTATAAGGATTTGAACGTATGAATCTTTGTTTCTAAGCATGTCCAAAAGTTCTTAATATGTTTAGATGCAATTCGACACAGATTTAGAACATAGTCATTGTCATAAGGTTTTTTGTTTATTCCGAGCACACGAAGTCGCGGAGAAAACCTAGTTCATTCTCAAAATAAACCGTGATACTAATGCTAACGATATGAAATTGGCGTTTTTAATTGTATGTTATTATTGCTTTGACAGTCTAGATATTTGATCTCCCATCGCCTGATGTAAAAAATAAACTTCAGTAGGTTTAGCTAGATTTTTAAAGAAATCTACTGAAACCTCTATAATAGAGTTAGGTAACATATTTTTATTCAGCCCTAAATACTGGACGTCATAAATCATTTTCCTTATCATGTCATTAAAATATTCTTAACAGTGATAACGATTATGAAGCTATAGACAACTACAACAAATTAATATACATGTATGAACATCAGTACCAGTATCATGTATCAGTTCTGCATTGCAACGCATTGTTAAATATTTTTTTTTTTCTCTTCAATTGTCTTTCTTGTTTTTGATTGTTAATAGTTAGTTTTCTTTTCTCTCGTTTGTATTTTTTTTGTTCAAGTGAATTGTATTATGTTGTAATGTGTTTTGGAACAGATTAAATGTTTATTATTATTATTGTGTTGTTCCACATATATCTTTATTTCTTATTCTCTGTATAAGTAATACATTTTACAAGATTTGTATAAAAATAAAATTAAACATCTTACATTAAAAATAGAGCACCACCGGCTGCGGAATCCGATGACTCAAGCAACCAGTGGTCAGGGCTGCAGAAACAGGAACCTCCTCACTATGCGTGCGGTTTCTAAAATAACCGCCTTTTGGATCGGGCCCTTAATCCAACTGTCTAGCGAGAGCTTCTTGAGGTGTTGGTCGAAGCTCTTCGCTATTAGCCCGTGTACCGAAACGACTATCGGAATAATGGTAGTCGATTTCATAGGCCACATGGCGGTAATCTCGTGAGCCAAATCCAAATATTTTAATAGTAAATTATTATTAATGCATAACTCCGAAAAACAATACCCAGTCAGACGAGTAAAACATAATTCATTCTTTTCAAATTCACCGCTTACATTTAAAAAATCATTGAAACCATTTAAAAATATCTTATAATTCTTAAAGAACTAAATACATTTACTGAAGTGAATTCTTATTTATGAATAAAAATAAAACGTTCTTTGGCATTTCAATTCAATTTATTAAAAAAAATTATGCATTAGACTGGATCCAAGAAGTGTATCGCGAAACACGAGCATTAACACCAGGGAAAAACGCAAGAGCGCATTCGTGTCCCCAGGAGCATACACCGACGATAACGTTATTGTGGATGAGTGGGCCGCCAGAGTCGCCTTGGCACTGGTCACGACCGCCGACATCGAGCCATCCAGAGCACAACATGTTGTCGGTTATAGCGGAATTTCTAGTTGCATACCGCTGCCTGCAAGTGTTCTGGTTGACAGTCCACACTTGTACGTGGCGCAGCTGCTCCGAACTTTGACCCCGGAACTATTAACAAGATAATCTTTCATGAATTCAAAGTAGTTAATATACTAAAATAAGCCTAAATAATTCTGAAATGAGGGCCCACTGTCGTGGAATTTTTTTTTTATTTTTAATAAAAAAATAGTAAAGAATTTTTGCCACAAAATCGATAATTTACTTTTGCTACTTTTTTTTTGCTTTACAAGTGCTTCCAGAATAGACTAAAAATCAAGTCGAACTACACCTAGGAAGCTATCCTACAGGTTGTTAAATCAATAAGACCTTTTATGTTGGTTTGTCATGGTAAAAATTTTCCAGACGCAACTATGTCATAGTTCAACTGGTTCATACTTACAGCAATAGCACCCCATCCGATAGCCCAAACGGGTGTGTTGTCACCAAGGTTATAGTTAGATCCTGCAATACTTCCAGCGCGCACATTGTTGTTAAATGCAAAATTAGAAGAAGATCGCAGTATAGCAATATCGTTGTCCAGATTGCGAGAGTTGTAGTTAGGATGCATTATGATTCTATTAGTGTTGTGGACGACACCGCCACTGTTGGCGTTGGTGGATCCAACACGGATGCGCCACTGATTAGCAGAATCGCGCCTGCAAACAGAGTTTAGTATTCAAGTGTACCGCAAGTCCGCTAATCTTACACACAAGTTGTATCTAAAACTTACCATACACAATGACCAGCAGTTAAAATGGATCTATTATTTAAGATGGTTCCACCACAACTTTGACGGTGGTTCGAACCTCCCCACGAGTACAACAAGGCAGCACCGTATGGATATTGCGAAATAGTGGTTACTGATCCTCCAACAATCCTTTGCTGATTTCTGGGAACAGCTGCAATATAAAACAATATAATTAATTAACTGTTTTCCTTTACTCGATTTTTGAATTTAAAATAAAAAAACAAAACCGACTTCCAAACAAAATACACTGAAAACAAAATATTCTCAAAAAAACAGTACACTAAAAAGTAACGAAATAATCCCTTGAAAATAGTAAACCTCCCTTATTGTAATACCTCAATTATTATTATAATACTTTGATGTCGGTGTCAGTCGAGGTATGCAGTGATATTTATACGTAAGGGTATCCACATTTTTAATATAACAATTGACAATTTTACGTATAGTAACGTTTAAGTAATGAATCTACATACATTGACTGACACCGACTTCAAAGTAATAATAATTGTACAATATAGACATAACAGCTACAATAAGGGAGGTTTACTATTTTCAAGGAATTATTTCGTTACTTTTTAGTGTACTGTTTTTTTTTTGAGAATATTTTGTTTTTAGTGTATTTTGTTTGAAAGTCGGTTTTCCTTTTTTAAGTTTATTTACTTCTCTATTTTTAGTGAATCTAAACATCGCAGTATGATAATCACTAGCTTTCAAACAAAGAGTTATCTAAATCGATTACATAAGAAATAAGTGCCGCGCGCCGCTGTTGCCCGTGAGTTTTAATATTTTGATAACTTCTAGAATCTTTGACAGAATTACATACTGTAAAAGGCAATTATGATCTACATTTAATACTCTATCGTGAAAACATATTTATTTGTATAAGGATTCATACCAAATAAGAATAAAAGCGTTTTTAATGAAGTCGATTGCATTTATTTGACGGTTTTTGCGAAACAAACGGTTATTGTGCGACAACCTTAAAAGATAGATATATGCTATCGCGGACTTTTATATAGCTAATTAAATGAGCTACAATTATTTCATACATCATTTTTATGTAGATCTTATAGTTTAGGCTACGTAAGCCAAGAAAGCAAACTTTGTTACTACGTCGTAGTATAAGACTCTAAAAATCAAACATTACCTTTCGGATAAAAAAAGAATTATCAAAATCGGTCCACTAGCGGTGGAGTTATGCCGTAAGACACATAAAAAACAATAAAAAAAAACATATAGACGAATTGAGTACCTCCTTCTTTTGGGAAGTCGGTCAATAAGAATCACTTATAATTTACTAATATTTTTTAGTTTATTCTCACCTGCCACTACAGCCAACCCCAGGGCCAATAACAACAGAGTGGTGCGCATTTTCTAGCTTTTGCAAACTATTTACAAAACTAACGAACGATGCTCATATTTATACACAAAACGATGTCACCAAATTATAAGATATGATATATATAGACAACATAATCACTCTGATTAAGTGCTATCAAAGTCATCCGTGAATATCTTTATCAGGGCGAGCGAAAAGAGACCTGTACAGTCCCATAATGTTTGTAGACTTTTCTAAGAAACTATTACTATTTAAAAGGGCTTCATAATAAATTCTATGTTGGACTAAAAACACGAATTTATTCCAATGTTCTAACATCATCTGTTAGTAAATTATAAAACCATTAAGATGTATGTAGAAATATTTTTTAAATTATATTTCACAATTTGTGATTGTGACAAAGTTAAAGTTGACAATTTTTCCTTTGCGATAAATCTTACATTCTTACGATCTTAATTTTACAACCTTGGATGGATCTTTTTTTATTAAGAGCGCGCGCACACCTTTAGCCAAACTATCGCTCAACTGATTAGTCGCCTTTTGATTACTATGAGCTCATATGGCTGTGCACACTACTCGATTTTTAATTGTGCAACTAAACAGTTGAATCGGTTGCGTAACAATCAATAGAACAACAGTCAACAGTGGTGCGGTAGTTTAGTCAAAAGTGTGCGCCCGCTCTAAGTATTATTTTGCATGTAACCTTATTATTAATGCTGTTCTCATTCCAGGGTGAACTCGTAATCCAGACACACTCAGCACGATTATGTAACTAGCTTTCCCCTCTTTTGCGTCCACCCGCGATTAAAAAAAATAGTTAGGTAGCGGCTATAATATGTTTAGGTAACAGGTATATGCGTCCCCAGCCCTTGGCTAGATCAAGGAAGTAGGAGGGGGGTAGCTTCCATTATAATTGTATTATTTGAAGTATAGTTTTTTTATCTATTTTACGTTTTTGGATTCCCTAGACAAGGATAGTTGATCACCCTCCTACGCCCCACTCCTAGAGAATTATTAAAATAAACTTTTTAATAAAAAAAACAAAACCGACTTCCAAACAAAATACACTAAACACAAAATATTCTCAAAAAAAACAGTACACTAAAAAGTAACGAAATAATTCCTTGAAAATAGTAAACCTCCCTTATTGTAGTTCTTATGTCTATATTGTACAATTATTATTACTTTGATGTCGGTGTCAGCCTAGGTATGCAGTGATATTTATACGTAAGGGTTTCCACATTTTTACTATAACAATTAACAATTGTAAGTACGAGTATAGTAACGTTTAAGTAATGAATCTGTAGTGTTCGAATCCCACTTCAACACTACAAATCTACATTGACATTGCAGTATGATAATCACTAGCTTTCAAACAAAGAATGAGTTATCTAAATCGATTATAAAAGAAATTAAGTAAAGATCTAATACATCGTTGCGATCATTCACTCATAATTCTGTACAGCCGCGCGCCGCTGTTGCCCGTGAGTTTTAATATTTTAATAACTTCTAGAATTTTGGTCAGAATTACATACTACAGAAGGCAATTATGATCTACATTTAATACTCTATCGTGAAAACATATTTATTTGGATAAGGATTCATACCAAATAAGAAAAAAAGCGTTTTAAGGAAGTCGATTGCATTTATTTGACTGTTTTCGCGAAACAAACGGTTATTGTGCGACAACCTTAAGAGATAGATATATGCTATCACGGACTTTTATATAGCTTATTATATGAGCTACAATTCTTGCATACAACATTTTTATGTAGATCTTTTAGTTTAAGCTACGTAAGCCAAGAAAGAAAACTTTGTTACAAGTTGGTATATTTTTCTGCGACTCGTAATTTGCTATTTATGATATCTCCTAAACTATTGATCGTAATTTTATAGTTCCCAGGGGCATTTATAATCTACATTAAATTCTCTTGATGATAGACACAATTATTTGGATAAGGATTCATACCGAACACCAGTAAAAGCGTTGAAAGTGGGGTGTAGATTTCGAGCGATATTTTAATGAAAAAAGTGGTTATTGTGCGACAACCTTAATAGATAGACATATGCCATCGCGCACTTTTATTTAGCAAATTTAATGTGCTACAATTTTTCATACATCATTTTTATGTAAGTCTTATAGTTTAGGCTACGTAAGCAGAGAAAGCAAAAATTACCCTAAATTTCGTCGTGCGATTTTGAGCTAAACTATTTAACTACGTCGTAGTCTTAGACCCCAAAAATCAAACAAAAAATGGGAACCACCTGCAAGCATTACCTTTCGGATAAAAAAAGAATTATCAAAATCGGTCCATTAGCGGCGGAGTTATGCCGTAACACACATAAAAAAAATAAAAAAAAATATATCGACGAACTGAGTACCTCCTTCTTTTGGGAAGTCGGTCAAAAATAGAACAAAACGTACAGCAAATTCCAAATAGACAGGCAAGAAATGTTTTCAATAATTATTAAACCCTATATTTGATAGGGTTTAATAAATTCTGAATCCTTTAAGGTTTCAATCGAATCAAAACTATTTTTTAATGTTTCAAGTTCGTTTATTTAAATAAATTAAGCATTAGACTGGATCCAAGAAGTGTAACGGGAGACACGAGCATTAACACCAGGGAAGTTAGCAAGAGCGCACTCGTGTCCCCAGGAGCATACACCGACAACAACATTGTTGTGGATGAGAGGACCGCCAGAGTCGCCTTGGCACTGGTCGCGACCGCCGACACCGAGCCATCCGGAGCACAACATGTTGTTAGTAACACTCAAGCCTCTTGAAGCGTAATTATTTCTGCATGTGTTCTGGTTGATAGTCCATACTTGCACGTGGCGCAACTGCTCTGAGCCTGGTCCTTTGTACTGTAGTAAAATCAACGTTAGTATTTTAGTAATCTATAGTTTTAAGGTACTGCGCTTTTTCTAGAATTTCACTGTATAATCATTTAAAACAATTGGCATGAATCTAAAGTTATTCACTCTAAAGGTATTCTATAAAAACTATGGAGTTAACTTCATTACTTACAAATTTAGTAGTAAAATACTTAGTGTAAATTCGGCTTTAACTATGATTTTCGTTTTTCTAAACACGATTTTTTTTTTTTAAATGAAAAATGATTATTTATTTAGTATTACTTACAGAAGTGGCGCCCCATCCGATAGCCCAAACTACTTGGTTGTCAGCAAGGTTGTAGTTGGATCCGGCAATACTCCCAGCGCGCACATTGTTGTTGAAACCCCAGGTGGAAGAAGCTCGCAGAAGAGCAATGTCGTTGTCCTGAGTGCGAGAGTTGTAGTTGGGGTGCATGATGATTCTGTTAGTGTTGTGAACGTTGCCGCCGCTGTTGGCGTTAGTGGATCCAACACGAATGCGCCACATGTTAGCTGAGTCGCGGCTGCAAATAAAAGAAATTAGTAATTGCTTTGAAAAAATATTCTTAGACCTCTCATTTCTGTAAGAATTCACTTACAAGAAACAGTGAGCAGCAGACAATATAGATCTGTTGTTCAAGATAGTTCCACCGCACGCTTGTCTGAAGTTTGATCCACCCCATGAGTACAGCAAGGCGGCACCGAAGGGATAACGTGAAATAGTAGTTGTCGATCCACCAACAATCCTTTGAGGGTTCCTGGGGACACCTGTAACAACAACAAAATAAATTTTTATTCTGTTTCTCAATTTTTAATATGAAATTTGTAGTTTCTCCAGTAATCCAACTTTCTAATTTTTTCTCACCTGCCACTACAGCAAAGCCGAGGGCCAACAGCAACAGTGCGATGCGCATCCTTGTGCTTTTGAAAATTATTTACAAAACTGAAAAATGACTCTCATATATATACACAAGACGATGTCACTAAATTGTATGATATGATATAAATAGACAACATAATCGCTGTAATAAATTGATATGAAAATCATCTGTCTTTTTTTTATTTGTTTTACAATTCATATCTATTATAAATTACACATTGATTTACTTTATATGAATCACCATCAAACCAATTTGTTCGTTTTGTAAATCGATGTATGTTATTTTGGTCAATTTATTCTCGAGAGTCTTGGAGAACTCCATTGCCGTGACATTTAGTGTTAATAGGTCTCGTTAATATTATAAATGGGAAAGTTTAAATGGATGGATGGATAGATGTTTGTAACCTAAACTCCTGAAATGATTTCAATGATATTTTGCATAGATAGAGAGGAAAGTCTGGAATAAGCCCATGGGCTACTTTGTTCAGTACTAGTCATCTATATAGTCAACACTTTTCCTTTTTTCCACAAAACAGAGACTCCAATATTAATTACAAGTGTCATGACAGTTAATCTTACGGTGACACCTGAAAGCATGATCTATTTACAAAAATCTGAATATTCATCCATAGGTCTAGGAATATTCCTATCAAAAATAGGAGTGTCTGTATTCACTAGTAAAAAATCCTATTTCGTGAACATGATGTCTTTGCGTAGCTGATAAAAAAAAAGGTTTTAAAAATGTTCGTCTGTATGTCAATATCCGAAACCGATGGGCCAATTTTAGCAGGACAATGATGTGACGGTAGCTGAAGCTCGCGGAAATATTGTAAGATATTTTTCAATTCTGTACTAACAAAATCATGAGCGACCGCTAGTGTGAAAAGAAATACATACTTACACATATTAGGATTTGTATTTAAATATTCATCAGTGAAGTTAATGTAAGCGCCAAAAGAAAGGAAAAAACACGTATAGAACACTTACCTACTTAATTATGACTTTCCACTTCTATGTATCTAGATAGATATTAAATTATTTTAAGTAAGAATGAAACTTAAAACAGTCACAACATGTGACAACATGATCAAGAAGGGAGTGATAATCAAGAAGACGACGACAAAAACCTGATGCTTCGGATCTACAAGAGGAGAACAAGGAGGAAAGATATTGATAAGAACGACTTGTCACGTTTTAGTTAATTCATACATCGTAATCGATATCATACAAATTAGTATTGTAAATTAATACTCTCTGTTATTATGTGGCATGTGCCACTGCATGGCATGTGCCATTGCATGGCATGTGCCATTGGCGACTACTGACGCCTTCTACCGTTTGCTGCTTACTTCGAAATCGTACCTTGAGGATGTACGTATTTTAATTATGAAGCGGTAAAATATATGACTATTATCTTTCTATTTTATGAAATTGTTTGGACTTTATCACCTTTTATCTAATTGAATACAGCACTAATTTTCTGTTCATTTAACAAAATCGGAGTATCTGTATGTAATATCGAAAAAAAATCCGATTTCGCGGAGATAATGTTTATACGCTGCTGATAACGAAAATAGGATTGAAACAACTGTGTCTGTTTGTTTGTCGGCTAGCACGACGCGTTTGTTTCAAGTTATCTTCGAGATTAATCATAGCTGACAATTATTTAATGATAGCAACTAGAGAAATCCAGATGGATTGATGTATAAAGAGGATCCTGCCACGTCTTTATCTTAAAGTCTCAATAACATCCCTCATTAACATCTATGTACATGCTGACAAACCCGTGATTACGAATACTAATACTTTATATAGAATTAGAAAAAACATAAAGATTTTTATAATTTATGCCTGTTGTTTATTGAGTTCATTTAGTTATGCTTAAAATCGGCCAAATTGAAAAATTGCTGAATTATTGGAGAGCAACGACGAATAGAATGAAAGATACGCTCTATGTTTCAAAACAATTTATTTAACCAAATTACGCATTAGATTGGATCCAAGAGGTGTAGCGTGAGACACGAGCATTGACACCAGGGAAGTTAGGGAGAGCACATTCGTGTCCCCAGGAGCATACACCGACGACAACATTGTTGTGGATGAGAGGGCCGCCAGAGTCGCCTTGGCACTGGTCGCGACCGCCGACACCGAGCCAGCCAGAGCACAACATGTTGTTTGTAATCGTCAATCCTCTGGCAGCGTAATTATTTCTGCATGTGTTCTGGTTGATAGTCCAGATTTGCACGTGGCGAAGCTGTTCAGAGCTTTGTCCCTTGTACTGAAACCAAATCAAGTTAATGTTTCAACAATCAAATCACTTAGTTTTAAAACAAAAGCAAGGAATAGACTGTAACTGTATTGGAATAACCTTCTACAAAGCGTGGTCATTTCAGACAGAATACATTTGTTGTAGCTTATTATAAGATTTCAGTTTTGCTGTTTATTTTACTGTTTGAAAAGATAATTTAATATACTTTACCTCATTATAATTCAAAGAATTATGGTCATACTTACAGCAATAGCGCCCCATCCGATGGCCCACACAACTTGGTTGTAGCCAAGGTTATAATTAGATCCTGCAATACTGGCAGCGCGCACATTGTTGTTGAATCCGAAGTTAGAAGAGGCTCGGAGAATAGCAACATCGTGGTCCTGAGTGCGAAAGTTGTAGTTGGGATGCATGATGATTCTGTTAGTGTTGTGAACGGTACCGCCGCTGTTAGCGTTAGTGGATCCAACACGGATGCGCCACTGGTTTGCAGTGTTGCGGCTGCCAATTAAAGATACAGTAATAAGCATTTAAATATTTTTTTTATAATGTAATGAAGTTTCTATATGTAGGTGTATACTTACAAGAAACAATGAGCAGCAGATAAGACGGATCTGTTGTTTAAAATGGTTCCTCCGCAACTTTGCCAGTAGCTCGAACCACCCCATGAGAACAGCATTGCAGCAGCATAGGGATATTGTGAGATAGTTGTTGTCGATCCACCAACAATCCTTTGAGGATTCCTGGGGATCGCTGCAATGAGAAAAAACAAGTTTTACAAATGCTATTTGCTTCAGTAAAATAAATTAAGAGAGGGCATATTTTCTGAAAATGTGTTGTAACGTTATGTATTTAAAGGCCTGTAGTAGATCTACCAAAGTTTAATGTTAGACATGGAGTCTTCTGATAACATTCTAGGGTCCATAGATATACTGTGATCTCATAAGAATTTCGAGACACATTGTTCAAATATTTATTTATCATAAATTATTTTATCTATAATTACATAAAAGCAAATAACGTAAAATCCACAAATCCATATCTTGAATTAAATAATCCAATTATATACTATCTATGAATTACTGGCCCCATAATCTTTATGTAACAAATGTGCCGGGATGAATGGACAGATTTAATTAGTTTTTAAACAAGCGCGTAATTGATATTACAAATTACAAATGAAAAAAAATGATGGCTATGACCATTCGTTGCATGGCAATGATCTAGACCAGGTCTTGGGATGGTCTAGACATCAACTATTGATATGGTCGCTATGGACATGGCTACTCTTTCCATCTATCTCCTAGTTAGCCTCCGTCACAACACCAATCACACAAACATAGAAAAATCCATTAATAAAAATAAAAAGCGTGTTGCAAACTGTGGTAAGCAGTAAATGCTTAACGCCTTTCTTCTGTACCTCCCGGTCTTTCTTCTGTAAGGACGGCTTGTAAGGCAACAGATGTTATTGTTGAGGGCAGTTTTAACACTGGTATTAAGAACCGTTCTCTAATTACTAGATATCAAAATTCTGGAATTTTGCTAGTTTTCAAATATTTTCCGATTACGTGGATAAACTTAGTCCAGAGGCCCAACTTTAGTCCCTTTTCCTTCCCATTCTTTTGCTCTCCTTAGAATAGGATGGAAGGGAACGCGAATTTAATGATGGAGGAGACGCTTATGGACAGCGGTCGCTTCGCCATTTTGGCGAATTTAAGTGATCGCTTGCTCGTTTGCCACCTTATGATATAACAAAGAAACTGAGCTCTAAACGTTTTAATTTCTATGTTTAAAAATGTATCTCTCACCCGCTGCGACAGCCAGGCTTAGGGCCAACAACAACAAGGTGATGCGCATTGTCGTTGTTCCGAAAACTCTTTACAACACTAGCGAATGATGCTCATATTTATATAGAAATCGATGTCATCAAATTGTAAGATACGACATATTGACAAAATGTAATCGCAATGATAAAATAATATTAAAATCATCTGTAAATGTATCTATTAGAGCCCCCGCGGACTACAGACTTTTTATCGACCGATCATTGTTGGTTAGTTCGCCGTTTATTGATGAGTGGAGGTGCGTACATTACTGCGATTTATTTTTATATAATCAAAAAGGAGGTGATGACTGAGATGAAGTATGATAGTATGTGGATGACAAAAACCTGTTGCGTCGACCTTACGGTAATAGAATAAGGAGGAAGATGATGACGGATTTGCTTTGACACATTGATGCTGGGTTTCTGACGTTTCCATCTATTTTATCATTACCCAGTGATTCATTAGTGTTACGTTAACCTATGTTTCAACAAAATACAACTCAAGTTACCTAGTTTAGAACCGCATTAAAAAATTTTATCGTACCTTAAACACTATCAAATGGTTAAAAGTTCGGGAACCGGCTTGAAACAAAATATCGGCCGAAAATTCTTTAGCCTGCGGAAGCTCTTAATATTTCACAGATATAATACACGGACAGATACACATAGATGATGAGATATGCGTTGATTCAATTATTTAAACTAGAATGAAAGAGATGACAAAAACTTATACAAATAATAATGATTTTCTACAATGAAAACCGTACACTTATTGCTTCAATTAGTTTCGGTACGGATTTTTAAGATTTACATTTCCTATTATTCTTTTGCGTGGAATTAAAAAACTGAGTAAGAGTTTCTTCCTTCCACATTCTTTCATACGTTACGAATTTATAATATTTGTAGGAAAAGAGTCTTAATAATGACAGAAATATAAATAATTTCTATTTCAACCATCAAAAAATGAGTTCATCATCTTTCATATCAAATTCGGTTGTCAATTTAACGTCCCAATTGTAGAAATAAATGCTTTGAAAATGTTGAATTCTATAAAAAATTGTAATGCATAGTTAAAATGTATATTTACAGTTAAACATTTATTGTCAATTTTCACTCTATTGTAGAAATACAAGCTGTATCAGCGTGAATGATGCCCCCAAAGCCTGAGCTTTATATTGAGGGAGAAGATTTTACAGCAGCTCCTACGAGTAACTAAATATGCCAAGCACAGTTTATTAAAATCGGATTAATCATCCTGTATTTAAAAATTTTGTAACTTCAAACTGATTATAAAAAAAAAACCGTTTTTCAAACTGACAAAAGAAATTGTATTTCATGCGTAATCAGTATTCGCAATACGGTATATTATGTAGATACATAGTAATACTTTCCAATTTACTCATAGATTCGTTCGTTTGCGGCGGTATCAGTTTTTTGAAAAACCGTATTAGCTACTGCGAAAAAAAAATTAATTCTTCAGTTATATCCCACTCACATAATTTCATAAACCTTAATATTGTGCAGTCCTTTACTCCAACCTTACTTAGCAGAAATAAATTGATTTTAAATATTAATATTAAATTAAACTAGTGATCATCTTAAATATTTTTAGGGCTGATGACATTTTAAATCATAATCTACTACCTGTAATTGACACAACATAATTATCTTCTGTAAATTATCTCATGTTTTTTTTCTAATTGATAAAAGCCGTAATTACCCATGATAATATGTTGATATAATATTAATTGTGATAATTGAATTATTAATTATCTAAAACGAACTCATTCAAGATCGTCACCTAAAGGAATAGGTACAAGTATTAAATTTTGTAAAAATACTACGCATTTTGTTTTTATTCGATTCTTTTATTGGAGTTCTTTCATCGACACATTTAAAGGCTAGGTGTTCGAATGTACGAACTCTAATAATCCTTTCCTTATCGCTTATTTTTCACTGATCGATGTATTTTTTTACTTTGACGTTCCTACAGGAGCACTCATCGAACACAGATTTCTCTCTTTTTTCGCCCTTTCAATTTTATGTCACTTCTCTACTCTATATTGCCGCAAATATTATAACCAACCAAGACCAAGTGGTCAACGACGCCCATTGACATCCGCAACACCAGAGGAACTACAGATGCGTTGCCGGCCTTTCAGGAAATTGTAGGCTCGCTTCTTAAAGGACCCTAAGTCGTATTGGTTTGGAAATACCGCCGAGGACAGACCGTTCCACAACGCGGCTGTGCGGGGCAGAAAGTTCCGCGATAACCGCAGAGTTGTGGAATGCCAAATGCCAATTGCCAACAAAAGTTAAAAACTGGCAAATGAAATAACTGTTTCTGTTAATTAATTATATCAATAACCCGACTACATCCCTATAATGCTAGGCTATGTACTTAAAATCATTTAGCCTACTAGAAGTCAATATCGAATTGACCTTTGCACAGTCAAGTGCATTATAAACACATTTACAGAAATAAAAAGATATGTATTCGCTTTCGGTTTCAAATATGTTACATAAAAACACAATCCGTTTGTGCGTTTCCGAAAACCAAATCATGCACAAATAGTTTAAAGGAAACCCTATAAAGGTTCTAAAGATATTGCAAATCTGTACTAATATTATAAAGAGGAAAGATTTGTATTTTTGTATGTATTGAAATAACTCAAAAACTACCAACAACAATCCTATATTTATTCTTGGAAGTTTGGTTTATGTAAAAATCAAGGGAATAAAATTTAAATGAATTCTAAAATGTTTCATTATTAGTCCAAATATTCTAATCAATAAATAATCCGTTCACGTACTTAATGATAATGTTAATTCGTCTGTGTGCTACCAACTAATCAATTTATCAAATAATCAATTTGGCCTTGTCAGTGTTCATAAATTATGATAAACCACATTCTGATACCTTTATAATGAAATTTTCTATAATGTAACCTAATACTTTTTGGTAATTACTCCCAGAATCACACAATGTAGTCTTAGGAACGAATAAGTCGCGGAGCCACATTGCTTCTCTTTTTGGATCCATGAGAAATCATTCATCGGTTTGTCGCCATGTTACTACGCTGGCGGTCGGAACAAGCAAGTCCCAATCTAGCATTTTATGATTTGAATTTTACACCAGCGGGACTTAACGTTACCTAGATTGCCATAATTTGTGAGGGACGGTGGACTGAAAAAAAATATCTGTCGTTAGATAGAGAGACTGGCCACACTGCAATGTGTTTTCGATTTTCAAGTTACATAAGCATATTTATCTGAAACTTTTAAAGTAATGAAAGCAATTAATTAATATTTACGAATAAAAAATTCTTTCGACTTTCCTTAGGTAGGATCGTGGTAAGCGCTAGCTTGTGAAAACAAAAAATGACTGTTATCATATACTTATTATACTTAGGGTGGGTTGCACCATATCGTCGGTTATCGTTAAAGTTAAAATTATTTGTAACGGTAAGAAGCTTAAAATTTGCTAAGGATGAGTTACATTAACTAACTATAAACCTTAACCAGCGCATTCCCGATGGTTATGTCTATGTATGTTCATGATATTCGCTGCACCAGTTTTACGCTGGTCAAAATGACGTCATATTTGACGCTAATCATAACCGCCCTTGGGCGTTACCTTTCGTGTTAGTTCGGTAGTGTCAACTGTCACAAGTTCTTATCTTCAAAAGTACAAATAAGGTAATAATAAACGGAAAAAGAAAATCTCTACTATTATCCTAGACGCAATCCAGAAGATTAATGTCTAATAAAAAAGAAAAGTAAGAAAGTCAAAGCTTAATATTTTTTTTCTCATTAAATTGAGTTAAAAAAACATGGATATAATAATGACTTTATTAATCATGTAATTACAATGAATGATTCAATATATATTGTTTTTAAATTTATTACAAACTAATTATTCCGAAAACGGTTTATCGAAACATTACAATATTTATCAGTAGAATGATAAAGCCTTGATAGTGCTTGGGTTATTCAACAATGTAATTATTAAAAAAAATAAGCCTAACAATTATATAGATGGATAGTATTTAACAAAACCAAATTAACTCAGGAATTCTATAGTTCAAATAAGAATACATATAAGGTAGACAGTTTTTTTTTTCTTTACCAGAAAAACTTTTTCCTTACCTTCTTTTGGGAAGTCGGTAACAAATATGAGAATCTCCCATCCGAGGATTAATTAAATTTATTGGTTGCTCTCTTTAATTTTCTTATCGTATAATCACTTCTAACAAGCTTTGCGTGGAAAACCCAAATTTACCTTAATTCTGCAAATGGTATGAGTAATACAACTTAAAACACTAAAATGTCACTGTTACTTTCATTTTCTCTTATTTTCATATTCTAACGGTCTCCTCTCTATAGGATTATTTATTGAAAAAGATTTTGTTGTTCGTTTACTTCGCCCTATAGGACGAACATCTTATAAGAATTACGTACAATAAACTAGCTTTCTCCCACGACTTCTGTGTGGAATAAAAAAAACTGAATATGACTCTTAACTATTCCGGTATTCCAAATAGCACTTTAACCAGATGCGTTACACTGCCGAAGTAGTTACGTGGTAAAGAACATTGATACATGTCTACATTACATCCAAAATTTTAGTTAATTTAAATTCCATTATTCTTTTAACCAAGGATAGGTAAATCACCTTACATTCGGTAATATTACGTAATATTCCACCTTCGCCTAAATAATAGCAACTAATGATTATAGAATTAGGCAAACAAATGTGATAATTTTATTACGAAGGTAAATAAAACATGCGAAATAATAATGCAATGGTTGTGCGATAAAAACATTGCTATTTTTATTTGTAAGTAAAGCTTCAAAGCTGTTATTAAGAACATATTTGCAGGATCACATCACATTACACATTCTAAAAGTACTAGCTTTCGCCTATAACTCCGTCAGCGTGGAATTTAAAAAAATAGTGTAAGTAGCCTATGTGTTCTTCCAGACTATCCTCGATGTCTATGCGAAATTTTATCGAGATCCGTTCAGTCGT